GTGTCAAATTGGCCAGGCAGTATCCATTAGCCAGAGAAGGTCGCCGGCCACCGACGGGTGGGGGTAGCGACAAAAAAAAACAAAAAAACAAACAAACAAAAAAACAAACAAAAAACAAACAAACAAAAACGGCCATATATAAAAAGGTAACGACCATTCCCCCAGAACCTCTGCTTGGAGAGTAGGACAATACGACCTTTTCTCTGATAAAGAGGCATAGCAATGAAGCTTTCTTAGTATGGCGTTTATGCGCGGCGAAAAAAGAATTAGGTTAACCACTGCCAAGGAATTAAGGTTAACCATATGTAATATACTATATACCTCTTTCCCACAGCTTACATAGCGATATTCGATGCTTATGAAACCAAAAGGTCAGTTCTGACGCACCAAACTCAGTCGTTACTGACATTTTGTTTCTACCGAACCGAAGCCACAAGCCTATTTTTTTAGGACGATGATCTTTTGAAATTCTTACTGTGGCAACCAAGTCTTATCTAAACAGTTTTCTAATGCATTTTAAGTAGGCTGGGTGACTCCAGAATACTCAGAGCTGGACAGGGATTTCCCTCTAATGGTTTATTTATCCCCACAAGGCCATATGATAACTTATGGCTGTATATAAATATCAGTAAACTAGAGTTCCACGATCTCATACCTTCGCCAAGTAATGTTAACCTTTAGGTTATGATCGACGAATTGTTATCGTTTCATTGTCTCAATTTTATGCCATTTAGGCCACGCCGTCTTAATTTTATGGATGACATCCCCTGAAGACCCCCAAACTAGTGCGCGCGGGCGAATAAAAAAAATTCGGGCAAAAATAAATAAAAATGCCACTACATCACAGGAATACAAAGCTGGTATTGTGAATTTGCGGCAGTGCTTATCAACGTGTACGACAAGCCGGCAATTTATGAATCGGCACTGTACGTTTGTACTGAGTTCTTGAGTCGTAGAGTTTCGGTACCTATGTGCCCGCCGTATTGTTGCTAACTATCATGGACTACCCAGGCCTAGAGCCAGGCCAGAGCTTCGGTGGACGTGATCTTGCGCGCGCGGATGTCATCCATAAAATTAAGATGGTGTGGCCTTATGTGACAAGAAGCGAAAAATGCCAGCCCACCCGGCTATTACGAGGGGTGACTTTTTTTAGGGATTGCTTTCAACACCAAGGACATGAATGTCATAAGTTTCAACCTGGCTTCTTCCCGGTCGTTACTACAAACTAAATATCACCACATATGAAGAAAATCATTGCATTTAGCACACTCAAATAACACACTCGAATAATATTCACCTGTCAGTTTGCTCCTGCTGGATGCTTACTTTCTTCAGGGTTTAGTGGCGCATTTTGTGCACATGTGTACATAGGATGCAGATTTCTCTTCCAAGTAATCAGGGCTCGAAATACATTTTTGGCGACGTCTCAGGGAGGAGCCTAATGGTACAGTATTGTGTGCAATTCGCATGAATTCTAGGAATTGTACAGGTATTTTGTCCACAGGAATGGAATGTCCACAGGCATTTCCCTGACCCACATCTATGCCCACAGTCCTGGAAACCCTTGGGAAGACCCAGAAGACCTGTCTGCCATGGATGGCCCTACTTTCTGTGACCCCGGCCCGGGGCTCGTTCACTATACACTCGGGGGAGGAGTGCACTGTATCTGTCTTGCTCAAAATCATGAAATGATGGCAGTGCCATGCAAACAATAACCCTAACATGAACCACCGTCGCCATGGCAATGTATATTTCCATTGCCAGTCTTGTTCTAGTTGGGACTGATACACATATAGCCTATGGCAATAACTCCTCCTGGGAGTTAATAGTGTTTTTCAAATTCAGAATTACATAGACAATGTATCTAGAACGTTATGTAGGGTTCGTAACCCATGTACATTTGTACACTGCATATTAGGCCTAGACGCGGTCGGTTATCTTATCTTATATCTTATATAATTACTGAGCCAAGGTCCCGCGAGGGACATCATGCTCAGGGACTAGAAGGTGCAGACCGGAGCGCGGCCGGTGGTGCTGGTGGTGCGTACGGAAAAAAAGACAAGGCAAAAAAACAATCTAGTGATTTGGGCTAATTCCACAATATAGTGCAAAAAGTGATAACAACAACAACAAAATGAAAAATGTGAGTGGCCACACTTAGGAAGGTACATTGCTAACTCTGGATGGGGGGAAGGCCCAAATATTGAGCCAGCCCCCGTTTGAATTCACTGAGTGTAGTCATTGATACTAGATGTTGTGGGAGGTTAGTCCATTCTGGCACCGTTCTTGGAAAAAAGCTACCTCTGTCTTGGTTGAGAGTACCACAAAACGGTGGGAGTGGCCTCTAGTGGAGCGTGTGTCGGTTGAGGTGTTAAGGCATACCGAAACCTGTCCTTGGTGCTGAACACCTTCCACACACAGGAAAACCAATTTGTTAAAGGTTGCCTCAATAATCAAAACAGTTACTGTGATTTAATACAGCAATGGAATTTTTGGACCTTCATGTGCCTACAAATATACCATCCAAACGATAAGACCAGACCACGAGATATCAAAACGGAAATTCCACTGCAGTACCATAACAAGCCGCCGGGGCCCAAAATCTAATCACTTCAAGTTCTCATCAAGACCTACATGTTCCCACCTACCAATAATCCATATAACCTCGAGTTATGCCGTTGACACACACACACACACACACACACACACACACACACACACACACACAAACACACACACACAAATGCAAACCTACAGTGTACTAGTAATTGTATGCATACAATCGTACATTTAGATGCAAGCCTACATGCATTAGCTACTAGTATACCAAAGAATCAGTAAATATTTCCACCCAGATTCTGAATGGAAACGGTTGTCTTTAATCATTGTTTTAACATAAAAGACTCTAAAAATCTAATCAACATATTAAATGTATCATCTTCTGTCCAACTCCACATTATTAATAATGGTCATAACATGAAAATATATGTTGCAGAAGATGTGAAAAAATATGATGTAGGTTTTGGAATACATGCTGGCAAAATGTACAAAGTGAAACTGATTTGGAGACCACAACTTATTTTCTAATTAAAAACAGATGATTGCAAAAATATACAAAAAATGTGCAAATTTCTACTATAATTGTTTGATTGCTATTAAACTGCTTGATCATTTCATCTATACAGCATTCCTAATTATTATTCAGCCAGATGTGTAGAATGAAAAAGGTACATGATGGCATCTGTGTGTAGTATCATCTGATTATTACTAAACAAAGAATATGCAAATTTTATGCTAAATCTGGCTGGTTAGAACAGCAACGGTTACCACTAACTGTAGTCATGTTGCGTACAAAAAATGGTCAATTATATCAACAAGCTAAATATGGAATTTTCTCCAACACACATGAGTAAACTTGTCTATTGCAGCTGATGTGAAGTATCTACCCCTCATAGTTTTACTTGAATGATGTAACAATATTGACACAAGTGAAGGCAAAATAACAACAATTCATGATACATGTACTAGGCACACTTTTGTCTTTGTTGGACAGAATTTTACACAGAACTGCTCAAAGTATCCTATATCTCTTATCATTCACTTCAGTTTAAAAGTGCTTGAAATCGTTTCAAGTATTCTAATAACAATAAAATATATGTATCATACGGAAAGCTATTTTACATTACATCCTGGAGGTCTGTTCAGCTTCCAAAATGGAACAATATGACAGTAAGATAGTATTTATTAATAATAAAAGCTACATGTATGATAATCATATAACGCCAACTATTCTTACATTCTGTTAAACCTGTGACAGTCTAATTGAGTGTGCAAGACTAAACTGAAAGTTAGGTAAATATAAACATAATAAAATCTAATTCAGTTCATGGCCCTAGAACATCTTGTCTCTTGAATCAGTTAAATGTTTACTATAAGTTATACAAGGTGTAACTTCAGTTGGCCCTCCAACCATGCTTACATCTTCCTCAAGTTAATGTATGTTTATAATCATGCTATTTTACATATCATTGCAACCTCATTTGCATCTTTGGGACGGACACAAATGCATGACATTGTGTGTATTGGTCACTACATAATCCATCCTTAGAATACATAATGCACTTTACATGGTAAAGGACTCCTCTAAAAACCTTAGTTAGAGAAACCTCCTCTTGACCTATCATGCAATGATAAAAACTTTATTTGACAGCTCTATAATAATTTCAACAATTTATGTGTACAAACTGCATTTTATAAACATCTACTTTTCTACCGAATAAAAGTGACACTACAATAACAACAATTGTAGTTTGTACCATACACAGTATAATGCAACATGATTCGACTTTTCCAGAATTTATTGTACATTGTGTATAATATATAGTTACATTAAAAATCTCTATGCGCATCAAATCATATGCTATCAGTTACATTTTATAATTCTATTGGGCATGGAACTTAAATCATTAATTGCAGCTATAAGCACATTTTCTTAGTGTAAACTAGAGGCAACAGCTACCTATAGTAAACATCATAGTATTACGGTTTTTACAAATGAAAATACATGTACACTGTATACAGTTTTTATGACAATCTCCAGGCACTGTTGTGTTAGACTAAAAAAATCATGATTGTGGGATGGTGACAAGTTTCACTACTTCTAGTGCTACTCGTCTTCATCTGTAAAATGTTATATAATAATTAATTTACAGAATTACATGTACTCTTGAATATGTCTAAGTATGCATCCTAAGGGCTAGGAAAACAAATTTTGTGTTTCTGCATTTTTTTGCTGACTGCTGGCTTTATATCCATCTGACATATTGAATCCAAATTTCAAACTTCCGCGACAATTTAAAAAGAAATTAAAATAAAAAATCTCCGCCTACAAATACTAATTATGTCAGAGCTGAAACTGGAAACACAGCATTTTTTTCTCCTAGGCCTTACACAATAGTTCAACATGACCATTCTTCTGTGGGCTGTCTCTGAATCTGGTGACAACAATTATATATCTGCTATTCGCATTTCAATCAGGTGAGAGTGACTGTGCAGTTAACAACCTCTCAGGATGGAGGGTGAGGGCCCACTTGCCATGAAGTCACTGTCTTCATCTGTGTGGCTGGTGGAGAAAATAAAATCAAACATTATAATTATACTACTATGTTAATTATGGAACATTCAAAATTTTGCTCTAAGGTACAGTGTAGGTGTCTCTTTATTTCTATCACATACATTTTGTATCTATACTTTTTAAAGTCACATACATTTTGTATCTATACTTTTAAAGTCACATACATTTTGTATCTATACTTTTTAAAGTCACATACATTTTGTATCTATACTTTTAAAGTCACATACATTTTGTATGTATACTTTTTTAAGTCAAGGAGAGGTTGTGGAGCATACAATGTATAAGGCCACACTCAATTGATTATATGGATGACATCTGCATGCGCATCAATTTTTGTCTGTTTCCCCCAAAATACCTGGTATGTTGAATAACAGCTTCTATCATTTATCAATTCAGCTTTTGGGATTAGCATGGGATACCTAGGCCTATTTTTATTTATTTATTTTTTCCCTGTCACTTAATATTTTTTCTGAAAAAAGCCAAGAACCAACACATCAAATTGTTATCAACACCAGGCATCTGAAGTTTGGTACCCACCATGTTCCCCAGCTGGTACCACTGCACAGTCTCCTGTTTCAGGTCCAGCTCCTTCAGCCGGATGTTGGTCCCGCCCAGGAAGCAGTTCTCCCTCACCGACTCGCTGCTCCACACCGTCAGCTGCAGCGTGCGCCGCTGGACGTCAGCCAGAGGCACGTTGTACACCTGGAACAAACAGCAGTGAGTTACTGTAGAAACAGGAAAACCCCCTACACGCGGGACACTGGAAATGGAACCCGCGCGCCGGCTTACAATCCGTCCACTAAGGACTATGCCAAAAGGTCCAGACCCATTGGAATGGATCAGTTAGCAGCGCTTGAACCCCACTGTTATACTACTCCCCCTTTTCTATCAAGAGTTGTCCTCAAATCTCCAAGTATGACACAGTTTTCCATTATCATACAGCCAGTGTGGGAACCAGTGTAATAATAAAAAAAAATTGAACCCCACTGTTACACTACAGTGTACTTCCCCTTTCAAGATTCCTCCTCGAATCTCTGAGTCGACGTCCCTGTGCACAGTTTGCCATTTCTCACACAGGGCTGGTGTGGAAACCAGTGCGATAACTAGAAATTTGCAAAGCAAATGCACAATGTACCTTGGCATATGGTCTGCTCTGTTAATTCTTACTCATTCACAAATGCATCCCTATATATGATGACAGGAGTCTAAATCCCTCTTGCTATAAAATTGCAACAGGATGTAACCCAACACAAGTTACCATGGTGACAGACGTCTGTTCCTGGTCATTGACCTTATTTATTTGGAGAGGAAGAAGAAGAAACAGAGCAAACACAATATGTTCTGCAAAGGAAAACATAATTAAAAAAAATTGAAGCCCACTGTTACACACCAGCATCTCATTGTACGTGGGGTTGAGCGACTTCTTGGCTATCTTCGTCTTCTGTTTGGTCTGTTTGGCGGGGTCGGGGAGAAGGTAGGTCTTGACGTAAGGGTTGGGGTACTCCCCGTCCTGGGACATGAGGTCCTTGGCGTGCATGACCATGATGAACAAGCCATTCTTCTTGTAGTGGATGGACAGTTTGACCGACCCCCCCACCTGACCTATGGTGGGCGGTCGCTGGGAGGAATCTAGCAAGGAAAAACATTAAAAAATGCATAGTGATTAGTGATACCAAAAGAAATCAAAGATCTCATATGTCAGTGAAATAGTTGTAACTCAAGACTAGTTGTAACTCATGAATATTGTGCTGATTCTGTCTAATAATATGCATTTCTGCACTGACTACCGTAAGACATCCATGACAATAGCAGGAAATTGATAACGTTTTATGGGACTTAACTTTCTGTCAGTGTCTATATCTGTATAATTTTTATGTTTAGCCAGTATAACCACCCTTGGTGTAACATATGTGTTCCCAATGTGTCTAGCATGTGGAAACAACTAATAGTAGGGAAAACATTTTGACAAAACACACAAACAGACACACTAAAAATATATCTGCATAACACACACACACACACACACGCACCAAAAATGTCTTCTGTCCGTGACCTGTAACGCACAAGCAGACACGCCAAACACAGAGCCTCCATAACGCGCACACACACACACAGACACACCTAAAACAAAACCTCCATACACAGAGGTAATTATGAGTTTCACCCACCACCTATCTTCAGCATGTTGGCTGCACCTGCATCTTTCTCGTCCCTCAGCATGGGGTGGAAGAAGGTGTAGACCAGGTCAGACTGGGACACCTGGGGAGGGGCAGACATCACCTCCTTCAGGTAGATGTTCAGGTCCACCTGTCGACGCTCCGCCACCTGGGGAACCAAGGGTCATCTTTAGAAAGGTGACTTACCATATGTGCACAAGCATACTACATTTTCAACATTATGAAGCAAGTTTAAACAGTAATTTCCAACACAAGAAATTGGACTTTGCCAAATTTTTGACTGTGGGAAATAATGGCAAGCTACAATGTATCTAAGAATACAAGTGTAGCATATCCTTGAAAATCTAGAACTTACAAGGATTCTAAGGAAATCCTTTCACTGGAACCAAATTAATGAGACCACAGTCAAACCTGTACAAGTGACAGGTAAGGCCTATGAGACCACCTGGCCGGCATGTATGTCCCTTTGACAATTTTTCTGCACAAGCATTTAGAATCCTGCCTTATAATAGTGACCAGTCACTGTCCACCTATTCACATAGCCCCGCTTTATCTATTAGGTCATTCTGAACTCTAGGTAAATACGTAAACTTGTAGATCCTGGGAAGTTTTTTTCAATACTGGCACATTGGCAGAAAGTTCTGCACCTGTGCAAAAGCAGTAATGCCTTGTGCGTGGCACTTCGGGAGGTCATGACATCCCATCTATAGTTTTTAGATATTGCGTAGGAAAAGATGTAGGCAACCGGCAAAATTCTGATGCAGCGTTGACCAAACATCCAACAAAAACCTAAAAAAATCTGGGTTTTGCGCAGGCACATTAAGTTCTGCCATAACGTGCTGACCATGCTTTCTAACCTTACCTGTTTGATGTTAGAGCGCCCGATGACCGTACGCGTGGGAAAACTGGGTAACCTGTTGTGCGGGAACGCCAACGTTAACCTCTGGTGCAGCTCAAACAACTCGTCGTAGGTGCGGAACACGAAGGTGGGCTCCTCCCTGTCCTGGCGGTAAACCTTAATGATGTAGACGTAATACTTCTCCCCACTGTACCTCTTCTGGAAGCCGAACACACTCAGGGAGGTGATCTTCCCATCCTTCTCCATGCTGTAACATACACAAGGATAGTGTTACAGCAGTTTATCACATCATATTACAGATATAGTACATGATTGTATAAACAGTAGGATCATTTATCTGGGTGGTGGTGGAAGGAGGAGTGTTCCAGAACTGTTGAAAAAGATTCTCTTCCGGAAGAATTGCAAATTCTTCTACCAGATATGTACATTTAATTTGATATTATGTTTATCTACATGTACCTTCAATGACCCGTATTGTTGTATTGTGACAGAACGTCTTATACAAGGTCATATTCGCGTATGTAAGGTTATGTACATCCCGTCTGTAGTTTCCAAATGTTATGTCAGAGAAGATATCGTCTGCAACAGGCCCGCAAAATTCTGATGCAATGTTGCCCAGACATACAAATGTTACAAAAACTGTGAAAAATCAGGGATTGGTGCAGGCGCAGTACGTTCTGCCAATGTGCGAGAACTGACAAGTCTCTGTGACACATGATGATCACCATATCTGTCTTGATATAAAGTTAAACCATTTTACAACTACTACTAGGTCTACTAGACTACACCACCACGTACCTGTACACTTTAGGTGAAAAAGTGAAGAGCGACTCGTCCCCTGCGTTCCCAGAGAAGCGCATCTGTGCCAGGTTGTGCATGAAGAAGTTGATCTGGGTGGCCCGCGACCCCAGGCTGACCTCGATCAGCCGCGTGAAGTGAGCCGTGGCCTCGGCGTCCGACGCGCTGGGCTTCAGGGCGTTGTGAACGTACTGGATGTCTTCTGTACGCGACAACGCCGGGATTCCTGACGACAACATCTATACATGGACAAAAGTCAAATTAGTTGAGCAAGCCTAAAGTCTATGTTAATGTTGGAGTTTAGTAGTAGCAATGGACCTATTGCACTATTACGTCACAGTTTGTTTACCTCTTCTAATGAACATTCTAGAATGGTCAGTTAAAGAATAAAGATTATTTCAAGTTTTCAAAATCAGATGTGCTTTGATTTTTGCTGGGTCTAGTTTTGTTGACACAGCAGTACATGCCATAATGGGTGATTTAGTTGTGACAGTTGACGAAATTTCCTTCTTGACACACTACCATCCAAGTTTCTATCTAAAAAATATGACATTATTTTATCAAATCGGTAAAGCAATGCCAGTAACAATGGTGACTGCCGTTACAGTAGGTCGTTGATCTTATTTGTTTTCAAGTGAAGAAGAAGAAACTGAAAAAGTATGTTTTCCTTCTACGAAGGCAATAAAAAGATCAAAAATCTTTCTTATCATTGCTTTCTAGTATTGACATTCTCCCCTTAGGCCACTGAATATTTCATAGGTTTGCAACTTGGCTGCACAAAAACAGAGTCTCAAAATTGTATCATCCAACCATCTTTTATCATTCACTGTTTACTATACAAAAGACAGCCAGAGAAAAACAGTCCTCACCAAGCCAAACAGGTTGATAAACAGGTTGGCGTTTTTCCTGATGATGTTGAAGGCTTCGCAGCACAGGTCCACGAAGTCTTGGAACCGCGTACTGGGGCGGTCGCCGTCGTTTATCACGTACGCCATGTCAGAGGTCAGTACGAAGGGAGCGCGGTCTCTCTTGATCTTTCCAAACATCTGAGCGTTGCCGAGAAACTTGCCAAAGTCGATGTGGAACATGTGACCTGTTGGTAAGAATGAGCTGTTATTGATTGTTGAATCTTTGTATTAGTATTGTGCTACAACGTAAATTTACAGGCTGCCCTCTTCCCCTTGTGACATCAGCACGGCACTAGGCAGAAAAATTTATTGGCTACTATCAAAACAAGAGCAAACGGATTTTAGAACAGTCCGATTCTCTACTGTAACATTACCCATCTCTTAAACAAGCAGTAATAGCAAAACATGCATTGAACAACATTTTCGATATTCCAGTTTTTCACCAAAACTGGACATGTTAACTGTTGCAAAGAAGTCAAGATTTATACAAATCATGTACATACATTTGTACACTGAGAAGCTGAGACTGACCAGTATTAATAATTCATTTTTAAATTTACTGTGTGTTTAGTTGTGTTATAAACACAAGTAACTTTGTTTTGAAGTACCATTTAATTTAATTCTATTTTTAAGTACATGTACGCAATTCAGCGTAATGGCTGAAATGTGCATGTTTCATCAATAAAATTGCATTCAAAATCTTTCCCCAAATTTATTTATCAGTTATACTCGATCAGTACATAACATGACTGACCAGTTGTTTTGATCATGATGTTGTCGTTGTGTCTGTCTCCTATCCCGAGGACATACGTGGCCACACAGTACCCCGCGCACGAGAACATGAAGTTCTCCACGGCCTTCTCGTACTCCGCCTCTGTGGCGTTGTGCTTCTGTAACCAGTCCGCCAGCGGCTTGTCCTTGAACGACCCCGTCACGCCCTGCTCTGTCTGGATCTTCCGTAATGTCTCCGACTTGGGGATGATTTCTACCATTCCTGGTGGAATAAATAGGTCCTGTACATAATCTTCGAAGTAGTATATCTAGAAAACATTTCGCAATGCTGTTTTGTAATAGTCCTTGAATGAGATCAGAAACATTTGAAAAACTGTACGGTGTTGTTCATATCCAAGTTTCAGCATTGATAATAGCAAGACGGGCTCAACTAGTGGCCACTGTAGTGGCCCCTTGTCTCTTAAAGGACTGGGAATGCCTGCCTCACCACCTTTTACAAGCTAGGGTACAACCATATTAGTATACAAACTCACAGCCTACAGTAAACCAGTCCAGGGGTACACCAGGGGAGCCACCACTTCAAATTCCCAACTACAATTTCCAGAAAAGTTTAATACAAATACTCAACCCCCCTAAGATTCCCCATTTGACCGAAAATTCATGGCAAATCTTTCTTTTCGTGTAGAAACTAAGGCTTATAATAAAAACTTTATAAGTGTGGAAGACTTGTACCCTGTTTCGTGTTCCCTTACCTGCCTCCTTGCCGGTGGCGACGCAGGCGAAGGTGATCATGCGCAGGTCCAGCCCCTCCCGCAGCCACAGTTTGTTCATGATGCGGATCATCTGCAGGGTCAACATGTCCTGACGAAGGTCATCTCCCACCTGGACAAGACATCAAAAATTCAATTAACAATAGTCAGTAATCATTTACAAGGTCAGCATGTCCTGACGAAGGTCATCTCCCACCTGGACAAGACATCAATAAATCAATAATTATTAAAAATAGTCAGTAATCATTTCCAAGGTCAACATGACCTGATGAAGGTCGTCTCCCACATGAACAACCAATTAATAAATCAATTAACAACAGTCAGTCATCAACAACACGGTAGATCATTTTTAAGGTCAACATGCCATGACGAAGGTCATCTTCCACCTGAACAAGACATCAATAAATCAATTAATACAACCAATAATCTATTAAAAGTAATCAAAATAAACGAGCAGATCATGTGCTGAAATTTATCATTACCAATCTGAAACAATAATATTGATTCATCAGAAAATCGATCAAAATTGAATAATTATGCCATCAAGACCAATAATTACTAAACGCTGGCTAAACTAGTACTGTCAGTATTGAGTCAACATGACATACACACTTCTGTCTAAAATGTCTGTTTTTAAACATTGATTATGATTTGCACAATTTTCTTAATTTTTTTGGTTTTATTTTCTAACAGTTCATATTCAAATGGGCCTTCCAGATCCATTTTACTGCTACATGTATATGTCTAAGAATGGACAAAAACAGATTCAGGAAAAATATTATGGACCCCAAGAACTTTTTGACATGAATGTATCTAAAATTCTTTGGACACAAGACTTACCTTGTACATGGCCTGTATCTCCTCACCCAGGGAGTCTGCATTACCAAATACTAGTCTCAGTGGGGTGGCGTTGGATGTGAAATAGGAGCAGGACTGGGGGGAATAAAGGAAAAGCTGAACATTGTTGAACTTGATGAAGACCTTTGAATTTGAAGCATTTAAGTTAAAACAATACTGCAAATCAATTTATATTTGCGGTAGCAAAATTTTGCAGTCTGAGAAAAATGGACATAATACGTTCACAGTGGCGGCAGGTGCAGAACAAAGAAAGTAGTCGAACCTTTTGTTTGCGGCCATGATTAAATTTGCCGTACAGAAGTGACAGCGAAAACTGCAAATATGTACCACGAATATAAAGTGATATGCAGTAACAAAGGTTAGCACTTTCCTACTAACAAAAAAACTGTGGTGTTAAAAACTGTTTTCATAAAAAACAATAATGTGACTGTCTTTTAAAAAAGCTAATCTATAATCTCTTAGGACCTCAAATTGGATTTTCATTTCAATCCAGTGGTCCAATAACCATCTGCAAACTGTACAAAAACTAGGTGTTGACAGTGCTTATTCAGGAGCAAAAACCCTGGTTCCAAAGACCCACGTTTATGTCAATCCTGGGCCGCGGTAACGTTTGATACGGGTGTTCCAGCCCTTGTGATACATGTAACTAGCAGTACAGCCTGAGATTTTATTTGGTTATCACACAGGATTTCAACAGTTCCATAGAATAATTTTTACAACACGTTTTGCCTGATCTGCGTGCGCCACTTCCGCAAATTCTAATACTGGATTCGGACGTTGGAATTGACGTTGTTGCAAATGGATTTTTTGATTTAGGGACACATGGGTTGGATTTCCTTTTGGCCTTTGGGCGAGCCTGGGCTGGTATCTGGGCTGGTGTTGTATTCTATATTTCCTTGTACCTTGGTCCCTTAAGCCAGGTCAGGGTCGTGGGGGCACCGCATGGTTGAGTGTCTGTCCATCTGCCACCATCCCTCTCGGCTGTGAGCTAGGGTTAGGGTTTCCGCGGTTTTTTTTCCTGTCCATTCTTGGATGTTGTCGGCCCATTTTTTATTCTGCCTTCCCCTTTTTCTTGCTCCTTTTACTGTTCCTTGAAGGATTGTTTTCGACAGTCCATTTGATCTCAATACATGTCCGTACCATTTAAGTTTCCTTCTCTTCACAACTGTCAGGAGCCTTTCATACCGACAGTGCTGTTTTACACTGTTTATGATTTCATCGTTTGTGACACGGTCCAGGTACAATGTATGTTATCCCTAGGATTTTTCTAAGGCACTTCATTTCTACTGACTGTATCCTTCTTTGGAGCTCAGCATTTAGTGTCCATGATTCACAGGAGTACAGAAAGATAGAGAATACAAGGGCCTGAAGGTTATCACACAGGATTTCAAAAGTTCTATATTTCACACACCTGGAAGTTGATTCCACTGCAGACCAGTGCTGGGTTGGTGGGCAGGCGGAAGGGCACCACCATCTTGTTGTTGATCTTCTCCATCGCGTGCTGCAGCATCGCCTGTCGTGCCGAGTCCTTGGCGGACTTGACCTTCACCGCGACGTCGTGTAACATGCGGATCAGCTGTACCTGTGGAACACACAGCATCATCGATCACATAGTAAACCAGCATTCCCACCACCCCTGTTCAATGAGTGTGTCCAAATATATTGGGAGGGGGGTCATTGAGCACCAAAGACGACAGACGAGTGTTGTCACATTCCCTTTTTGATTGTTTTTTGGACGCACTCAGTCCCAAAATAGTGCGTCCAAAGATGCATGCCTAGCAGGAACGCTGCTCGTAACTGACACATGTACATGTAAGTATGATTCATTGTGTATAGACTTGTAGTAAGTGGGGCCGTGTAGTATAGCAGCATTGTATCCGGCCCAGAGACCGGAAGTCCTCAGTTTGAATCCTGCCATGTCACCAACCTTCTGCCCTTGGACATGCCTTTTCCCACTCCATCCAGATGTAAAATGGGAACCTGACTTTGGCTGGGGAGGTAAAAGATGCCTGAAGGAGACATTTACCCATCGCACCTACAGCCTTAAAATAGGCTGGGACTACCTTAAAGTTATCTTTACCCTTTATGTACTGTCAATCATGTATATATACATGTATGTACATGGTATATGTGTATGATAAATATCTGTCTACACAACATTTCAAACTGGGCCAGTTTAGACCAAGTCAACACATGTACATGTTTATGTCAGAATAAAAGAGGACATTCCGAGTTTCAGTAATTTTTTTTCAAATTGTTGAGTCTTTCATATGCCTGCAGTCAGTGACTAAACTTTTGAACTTCACCTTCACCAAACACAAAAATGTATGTCACCAAGTAGTAACAGAACAGAAGTAAGCAAGAAAAGATTATTGCTCCAACACTTACCTGTTTCTCGAACTCTGTGCGCAGCGCTCGCCCACACGTGCTGAGCAGCCCGGCGAGAACCATCTGGAAGCGCTGTCCAAACTGCTGATCCCCGACGTTGTCCTTCAGGTGCCAGTACAGCTGCTGTGCAATCCTGACGCTGGCCAGCGACCGCTCCAGGAGAAACCTGGGGGAAGGCAAAGGTGTTCTTAACCTTCTCCTTGCTGCCTAACCTTGTAACCACTGGACAATTTGTAGCCAAAAGGCTACTTCAGTATGTTAAACTACATTGTATGGGATAGATTAAAGAATATTACGCACGTGGAGATGTTTAATTCTTCATGTGAAGAGTTTGTTGTGTGAATCTTTACAGATTGTGCAACTTTTTCCTTTGTCCATATCAACAACAATGACACTTATTATTATTGACTCTAGGCAGCAGAACCCTGATAACAATTAGCCAAAGAGAGAGTGACTGAATCTAATGCAATCTTCCTAAACTTTCCCTTTTATACAATATAGCAGAAGCTTTTTATCATCCTTTGGGTGGATATTATACCATCTTTCGATGTGAATCTAACAGGTAAGAAAGTACACACAGATGCCAAGGAGTAAAATATGGAGCCATCCCAGCACTCACTCATCACTCCCTATCCGGTTTATCATCTGCTGTTCCACACATTTCACAAAATTATATACATTCCAGATGGCAATACAACATGACAAGTTTAATTGGTTGTTTTAGTGAAGGTTAGACATCCAGGTAATAAGATACACCCAAAAACAGTTAGTGGATGCTACCTGAAACATTCTGACCATTTCCAAAATCATATCCAGTTGCTTGAGCAACTGTTTTTGGGTGTATACGGTTGTTGTTTACAGTCAACCATTATTGCAAAATGTGTATTGCAAGGGATGCTGAGAATGGTCCATGTTCCTCCTTGCACAGAAGCCAACAACAGCGCCCTACCTAGCCAGTGCGCTGTCATGGTAACACTCATAGCGCAGCGCCTGAACCAGCTGCGGCAGGAAGTCGTACAGCTCGTCATCAGGCAGGTGCTGCATCCAGCTGATCGCAGTCGCACGCACCTGCAACAAGGAAACATCATCACCTGACTCGGGTGAAAAATGACTACCTAGTTTTGGTTAGAAACGTTTTCTCATATAGGACAAAATAAAACAGCATCGTGTGTTTGAGGAGAGCCACACCTCAAGTATGTTAATAAGATCTCACTACACTTATCAAACAAGAATGGGGGTCCTTCCCAATGTGACTGATTCAAACCTTACAGTCTAGTCTCAGGGTTTAAAAAAGCAACAGTCACCTGTTATGTCAACCCTTTCACATAATCATAATTTAATTTGTTAGATAATCTTCATCATCATCATCATCATGCCTCCGGATAATCCAGTGAGGTACGTTTGAATAAGTCACTCCAGGACCCCCGTCTCTCATGGTTGACACTAGAGCAGTCCCTGTGAGACCAGTGTCTTTCTCTAACATTGACAAAAGTGTGGTCTTCCCTGACCACTCTACGTCTCCCAGCAGGAAGCCACTGGATTAGTCTACCAGCAGGTTTATTACTACGAACTACATGCCCTGTCAGGGCGAGCCTGTGTCATCACACTATAGACAAAATGGGTGGGAGAGAGCCATTGAGTTGTTTGTTTGTTAGATGTTGTCCCCATGAAACATTATGTTTTTAAAATTCAGGTGTAGGTACCATCAAGTTTCTTGCTCTGGGAACAAGATAATATTCTTCATATTAAATAAATTTGTACAACAGACCTCCTTGTCAGCAAAGTGTGGATGCAGCAGCTCCAGAGCGCTGACGGGGGTGAGCGGACTCCAGTTGTGCACCAGGGAGTAGATGTCAGCCAGGGACGCCCAGTCCCAGCTCGGGGCGTGCTTCAGCACACGGGGGAGGGCAGCGGGAACCGTGTGACAGTAGTGTCGCTTCTCCCACAACATCTCCTCTTCTTCTTCTGATAATCTACAGGTGAAATGGTACAGGTTAACTTAAAACTTCAGTGGGGTTGTGTGGCATAACAGCAGAGCATTCAGCTCATAACCAAGAGGCCCGTTGTTTGAATGGTGCCAGTCACCAAACTTGTTCCCCTTGGAAAGGCACATTACACAACTTCTTCACTTTACAGGGGTTTTTCTAGAAAAATTTGGCATGAGGGAGCAGTATCACGGCGAGGGAGCGAAGCGACCGAGGGGGGGTTGGTGCGGAAGGGGGGTAAAAAACTAGGTCATCTCACAAACTCGATAGTATCCACTGCAAATCAGAAAGATATAACTCTAGTGCAATACCTCACATGGTGCGACTGTTGAACTTGTAAGAAAAAAAACTGCCCTATTCTAAATTATATTGTATAATGTGTCTTCATGAGATCTTTTAAATATTTTAAATTTGTTATTGTGTAATTTAGCTACAGTATAACTACGCTTTTAATATTGTACCCTATACAGTTAATGTTTTTATCATCTGTTGTTAATGGAACCCCCACGCAATTCAGTCTGTGACTGCCATGTGGGAACCATTGTTATGTGTTTTACATGAAACAAATAAACCAGTATTATTATTATCCCCCCTTCCGCCATGTGAAGCCTTTGAAAATTTGAAGTTGAAATGGGACATTTTGAGGCTACTTGAGGGGGGAAATTTGAACTCTTAACCTCAATGTACCTTTCCCAAATTTCTATTCATGCATTGCATATTTCACTTATAAAATATAAGTACAATCAACAGTACACACAATCTGCAAATCGCCCTTTATACACTTACACAATTAGTGATCAATGTTACTAGTAGCTCCAGATGACAACATTGGATTTGCCACAAGCTGAAACCTTTCCCATGGCACAATTGCAACACATTCATCCAAGCTGCTACAAACTCAGGTCTCATGTTTCACTTCAGAGCCTGTTTTATAGTATGCATATGAAGGAGGTCTAGCTACATGTTTTTGAGCAAGTTCTCAATGTTTATTCCATTCAAACTTTTACTACTAGAGCTAAATTTTCAAGTTTGTGGTAAGATTTTGGAATATTTATGAGAGTAACATAGTTTGTAATGCTAGAATACATTGTTATGTGGTGTTGTTTTTGTATTTTTACTGGAAAAAGATGATTTTGAAAAAGACTTAGGCTTCAATCTGAAAATTGATATGAGGGCGCTGGCTTGTTACATGAGGGCGCAGCGCCCTTGTTCCCCTGTTCAGAAAAACCCCTGCTTTACTTTGGTGAAAATGAGTACAGGTGTGTCAGAATGATCATTCAATTTATCATGATCATGGAATTACAGGATACCAAACCTAAAACTTTACCAAATGCAAAGTAGAAACAATCAAAATGCATAATGTGACCTAGCTTACCTGACCCTTTATATGACCTAGCTTAGCAAACTACTGCTCTGTTTATTCTTACTCAAACACATATATGGTGACCAGCCTCTTCAACTCTGTCTTGCAACTTGCTACATGTACATGATGTACCTCAACACCAGTGTACAGCTACAACACCAGTTACCATGGTGACAGCCATCTGGCCCGCGTCATTGACCTTATTTGTTTTGAGAAGAAAAAGAAACATAGCAAAATAAGATGTTTTCCTTCATTTTTGCTGCTGAGACAGGTATGAATGCCCCTGTGGCCTGAAAGAAAGTGTCTGCTGGCTGAGAAAGACAGTTGTCTGCTGGTAAGAGGATCTTAACGTAAAATTGAACAGGACTGTTTAAGTTGAAAGGCTGCAGGTGGTGCCTCCTCGACCAAGTTTGGCTGTACTATAGTTTATGTCAAACCTGCCTAGGGGATCACCTCTTCAAGCTCTCCATCCCCCAAACTTTCCCCATCGTCATAATTATTACATACTTGCTGATGGAAGCTTTGGCCACAATCTCCTGTATCTGTTCCCTGGTGGTGTCATCCAGGATGCTGAAACTGTAGTGTCTGCCCTCGTAGTGTGGCTCTGGAGGGGGGAATATCACGTCTCCACCATGGCTGGGAAATTCAACCTGGGAAAAACACAAACAATTATAGACTTTCAGAAACAAGTGATAGAAATACCCATCTGTAGTCTGCATTTTGCAGAGACATTTTCAATATTGCATGAGAAAAATTAAGCAACCTGCAACACCATTGTCTAGCTGTGTCCTTAGTGCTGAACACCTTCCACACCATGGTCTAGCCCTGTCCTTGGTGCTGAACACCTTCCACACCCTGGTCTAGCCCTGTCCTTGGTGCTGAACACCTTCCACACCATGGTCTAGCCCTGTCCTTGGTGCTGAACACCTTCCACACCATGGTCTAGCCCTGTCCTTGGTGCTGAACACCTTCCACACCTGGTCTAGCCCTGTCCTTGGTGCTGAACACCTTCCACACTATGAAACCACCCTGTTCCTTGGCGTTAAACACTTTCCACACCATGGTCTAGCCCTGTCCTTAGTGCTGAACACCTTCCACACCATGAAACCGCCCTGTCCTTGGCGCTAAACACCTTCCACACTATGGTCTAGCCCTGTCCTTGGTGCTGAACACCTTCCACACTATGGTCTAGCCCTGTCCTTGGTGCTGAACACCTTTTACACTATGAAACAACCCTGTCCTTTGTGCTAAATTCCTTAGTGATTTCAAAAGCTTCTAACCTGCAGAATAATAGAATCAGGCTGCAGCAGGTTTGATGAGCAGGTACCAATAGGGTTGACTTTTGACTCCGGCCACAGCCCCAACAAGTGTGGCCCGTGCAGCATGTGCCCCCTGTAGTTGAAGAGTGGTATTGCAGCCCACCCCAGCACGGTGACCCCGTAGGGTCTGTTACTGTCTGCTCCACTGTTGACACCGTACAGGGCGACGCAGAGTCGGGCTTCACGTGGCAGCAGGCACAGGGGCAGGGAAAACTCCACCCTGTAGGACGCATGGGTAACAAGCGGTTTAACCAGTTGTTATACATATACATTGTGTACATTATACACAAATGTTAATACCATATGAAAGCTATATTACAATCAACAATACATGTATAAAAAAATTCAAACCTTCCTCTTACACTTGATCACAGTGTTTTAGGCAGCCTGAATTTTTTTCCCTCATCTTGATATTGTTTGATGTAAAATCATTTTGAGCACAAATCTTAGGGGTGTGTGGAAGCATGCTTCACCATGAAAATTCTGAAATCTTGACCCTCTAATTCTAAAATGCCATTTCCTGCATTTCGAGGGAAAAATTTTGCTGGTAGACTAAGTGTAGTATAATGACATCTCTTTCAATATCTTTACACATTTTGTCTGCCAAAGATGACAGATTGGGCAAAATTTTTGTCCATCAAAAGCATCAAAATTCCATCAAATGATAGAGAGACAGACTGTGGCTAGAACACTGCATTCTAGTCACAAATGAATGGAATGTGTGGTTATGTGGCGTAACAGTACTGCAGAAGAGTGTTCGACTCAGAACCAAGAGGTCCTGGGTTCCAACTCTGCCATGCCACCCATCTTGTGTCCTTGAAAAAGGCACTTTATATAACTTTCCTGACTTTGCTCAGGTGAAAATGAGTATTGTATTGTCCTCTGTATTGATGGCAACATAAAAATAAGTTGAAAAGACTTGAGTGCGCCGACACGACGTCTTGTTAGTCATGTTGGAATATAAAGAAAAAAAACCTTCAAAGTAACACTAAAAAACATAAAACCTGTGCCTGACAAAGGCATGTATTCCACAACTCCAATTTGTATATGCCCTGGATTTAGGTCCAGAGTTACAAGTCCGGACCTGAACCTAAATCTCTGGACTTGAATCCAAGTCCTAACAGGTACACAGCACTACTCACCACTCGTCCCACACTAGTCGTGGGAAGAAGCTGTTCTTAATCGGGTGGATGTTGGTCTGCTTGGTGTCGCACATCTTGTGCCCACCGTGGAACACGCCGCTCGACACACGGAACTTCTCAAACAGCTGGTTGGAGTTGATGGGCAGGCGGTGTGCCGACACCAGACGGACGCGTACGTTGGAGGACACGCCCGTCACATCCACGATACCTGCGGGGGAAGGGAGCGCCGTCTTAGCGAGGGTTTCTCGCGCTCTCGGGGGGAAGAGGTCAAGAATGCAGGCTGTGGAGATGGACAGAAAAAAACATGGAGAGAAGAAGGAAAGAAGATAAAGAAGAGAGTCATGATAGGATGGAGAGATAGATATACAGTACAAAGTTGTGAGCAAAAGAAGGAAATAGGCACAGGAAAGCCATGAATCAAAATAAACATTCAAACAGAAACAGCTTAATATGACATTTTGTAAATGTTACACATCCATGTAGAACATTATGTAATATAGAGTAAAAAAGTGATGAAAGATCCTATCAGAAACGTCTTACTTTTTGGAAATTCATCCAATAATAAGCTTTATCTATCATGCTTTACCTATATTTTAAAATGAAATGAAAAGAATTTTTTTTCATATAGGTCACAGTAGACATACTGTGGGATACTATACTAGGATATACATGTATAATTATATGGCAAAAATGGAGCATTCAATGTACCATTTATAATTCATTTTTTCAAATTCTATGTTGTTACTGTATCATTCTGTTGACAGTTCAGTTGTTGCTTTACACCGCAAACTGTTGGTGGGAACAACAGTTAACATAAATTCTAGTCCAACTGAAGGTGTAGACAAAAAAAAGACCATCTCCAGCCTGTGTACCTGCTGTTGGTGTTCCTTGAGGGTTTGTTGTGAAGTCAGTGTCGAAGGCACTGCTGTACATGTCCACCAGCGCCAAGATGGCCGCCGTGACCTCCTCAAGGGCAAGGTTGACCTCCTCCTGTTTCTGTTCTTTACTCAGGCTGGCACTGCTGACACATTGAGGGGAGGGGGTAGTGTTAAAAGCAAAAAAAAAGCATTCTAGCGAGAAAATTTGTCGAAAATCTTTGTCATTATTTCATACAGTGATCATACATTATCAAGTGTTTGAAACTTTGAAATAACCTAGAAACAAGCAATATTAGGGTCCCTTTATTTTCATGGTACAGTGTTAGAAATACCCATCTGCATTCTGCATTTTGCAGAGAGATTTACAATATTGCAGAAGACAAATCCTACACTGTGCAATTTTGCATTATTAAGTCAAGAAAGTTGTACTTGAAAGTTGTTAGTTGTATGGAGGCTTTTACAGAAAGTGTTTCCAAATAGCAGAACAAAATTTTGACTTATCTGCAATAGTATTGCAGAACATTGAAAAAACTGGATTTCTACTATTGTATATACCATTGTGGTACCATCATTGAATAGCTAGAATTAGCCTAAAATACACAACAAGCACCTGTTTTAGTCTGACGCTATGGGATACAGTTAATTCCACCTACCAGTAAAGAGACTTAGTTTGAAAATCAAGTTTTACTGCCTTGAAAGTGCGATTGCAATGTTTATGTAGTACACTGTACTAAAATAAAGAAACAGAAAAAGGTGTGTTAACGGCTATAACACTAAAGGTTGTTTAAATTTAAAGAGAGATCTTCTTTGATGGATCAAAAGTTTTAACTTTAAACATGTAACTACCAACTCAGATGTACTTTCAGGAAAAGGTTCTTACATGTTGTTGACCACAGATGCCCTGTTCATCTCGCTGAGTCCCTCGGGCCCTGCGACGCTGGGCTGTCTGGGCGCGGGAACCGCTCGTTTGAGTCGCCCCACTGCCTGGCTGACCTCCACTGTCTCCAGACTGGCCAGAGTCGCACACAGTGCCTTGATGGCCTGGACAACTCCGTTAGACTTACAGCTGTCCCAGTCCTGTAGGGGGTTATGTGTGAATATACACCAGTCAGTGGGACAGATATTATAGACAACTCCGTTAGACTTACAGCTGTCCCAGTCCTGTAGGGAGATTTGAAAAATGTAAGAAATAGTATTTCAGAGGTTTTAAATTTTTACGTTTAAAAATCCCCTAGCATTGTCATGCCCTCAGCACTTGACATAATGTTACAAACAAAATGACGCAGGGGTCAAAATTAATTTTTCTTATTAGGTACACAGGTGCACCACATAAAACTAAAGTAAGATATTTGAAATGCAAAATTACCTTGTGAACTTAAACTCTAAACTTTAAAATTTCAAACAAGAAATTAAAGATTTTTTTATCATTTTTTGACACACAGTTGTTGGAAGTACAATGTATTGTACTTTGACTGTAGGTAACTTTTTTTTTAGGTGCATATGCACCAACTATTTCGATCAATGGACGATGGAAAAACTTTCGGGCTGGCTAGTGACACTGGAGAATATACATGATTATATAATGCGGGGGTACTTGATTTAGGGAAAGCTTTAGCAGTGTTTCATTTGAAACTAGTCTGTAGTACAGTTACTGTACATGTACATGTACATGTATGACATTATGTTGTTACTTGACTTACCAAAGATGCATGGGACCTCAACTTATCAGCCTCATTGTAGAAAGCATCCACCAGAACACCTAAGCCCCGTCTGGAAAAAAAGATTCAATTTGACAAATTTTAGCAAGAGCAATCAAGACAATCAGTTACCGTTACTAGCAGTAGTACCGTAATTATATCTAATTATATTTCAGTCCATACCATGGTATGGATGAAATATATTGTGTTCTCTGATGTTTCTTCTCCTTCTTCTCCTTCTCCTGCCACACAGTCAGAGGGATTCAACTCCGCCATCATTCAGCCAAATGACTTGAAATTTGGCATGGAGGTAGAGTGGGCCAATACCCCCAGGCGTTTTTTTCATTTTTTTGATACATGCCTTTAAAAAATTTTTATGAAGGTTTTTTGGGGCATTTTTTGCCAAAAAATGGATTTTTGGATCCTGAGCCCTGGTTTTACAACCAAATGATCTGAAATTCGGTATAAGGGTACCTTGAACATGTGTCTACAGAACAACAGTCACATATTTGGCATACACCACTTCCAAATGACTCATTTGGAGGACTTTAATTGCTATTTTCAGCAAAAAAAGGGCCAACAGTGCTATACCCGTTCCATGTTCTATCTAAAGAATGGCACGTTCTATCTGCCGTTGGCCATGGAACAGGTGTTCCATTGCGGGTTACCTGAGGTCACATTGCACGTAAGTCGTGCGTAATGACCCACACATTCAATTTTATGTGCCTAAGACCTTCAAAATGTATCAAATCTCATCATTGTTAGTATTTGCATACCTGTAAGAAGATTAGTAAAGCTTTCGAGATTCAATGTGCTTGTTGTTGCATCTTTGTTCTCAATTACATGGCTACTATAATTCATTTATTTGAGAATCTTTGCCAGTTTTACACTGGGGTAAGTTTGGAATAGTCCACTTTTGCGTGGGAGGGAGATGGACTGAAATATGCTGTATTTGCTCCCAAGCAAATGTCGGCCTCTCTAGTTCTAAGTATTGGTTTCGTACCATAGCAGAGTCAGTACAGTTATTAAGGATATTCAGTGTCTATCAAGTACTGTACTCTGTACAATTTTAACTCTCATAATAACAGACAATTTTGGGGACTTACTTGGAGACTGCTGTCCTGACAGGATTGTCGATGAAGTGATTCAAGTTGCTGGTCTTTGTGTCCTTGGCATCATCTTCTGCCTGCAGGGAAGAGTACACAAGTTTATTTGGTAACAAGAAACAATGATTATTTTAAAGTTCCCAATAACCATGTCCATAGTTCACTGTGCAAGGTTGAAAGTGAAGACTCCTAACTGTTGAATTTGTTACATTTCATGCTATAGATAAATTCAAAAAATTTCATTCTAGAAGGTAATAAGTAGGTGTACAAATAGGTAAATATATCAAAGAATGCTCAGTGCTCAATGCTCAGTTGAAACTGTGAACTAGCTTACTGTGGCATGCTGTGCTGTGTGTTGTATACTGTTGTACAGTATGTTAGAAGGGCTCAGCGCTGACATAAAAACAGGACTTACTGTTCTTGCCAGCATGTGAGGGATGACATCTCGGGGGTACAGCACCAGCGCAACATCAAGGTCAAACTTCTCACAGTCCTGCACATACTCATAGTCTCCCAAGGTCGTATCACTGTAGGGGGAGGGGGGCACTCTAATTGGATCAAGTTCTTAGCAGTATTGCTAATAGATTTTATTTATGGAGAAATTTCAGCAAACTTGTCAATGCCAATATTTACGTTTTCAATTTTAATGACACTGAAATTCACATTAAACATTCATTGCACCATGATTCATGACATGCAATTGACCCATCTTGAATCCATCATCTATTTCAATATGTATTTCTTTCCAAGTTTGGTTAGCATGTTAAGTTAGTAATCTTTCGATGTTGTTAAAATTCAAACATCTAGTGAGGCCTACATTGTAGGAAAACAATGTTGTTTCCTGTTTCAGTCCTGAAAGAATTGATGTCCCTTATTTCTTTAGTGCAGGGGTCCGCACTTTTTTCTATGGTCGGTCGGGAAACAGGAAACACAACATATATTTCCCTAAATATATATAATAATATATATATAAACAAGTGTCATGTAACTTGTATCTTGTTATATTGTGTCTGAACTCTGAACGCTTCCCTCATGACCTCAATGACAAGTGGCGAAGCAGGCCATTTTGAGTAAGGTATTTCATAGATACATGTAGTCTCAAATGAACAAACGAACAAACAACATGAGGCTTACTTGGCCAGGAACTCCTCCCTTCCGCACACTTTCAGAGCGAAGTCGTCCACGGACACGTCTGTGTCATCGTCCAGTAGAGACACGACCGCCTGACTCACCAGGTGACTCACGGATGTCTCAACTGTCAATCAAAAATATTACATCCCTCATTTGCATATAGTACAGATTGCATCCCTCATTTGCATACAGCACGTCACACACGGTTTTAACTTTTTTCTCTTGCAAATTTGTGTAAATTACGTTGAACTTTATTCTCACTCAAACACATGAACATACTGTACCAATACTACAAAATGTATTAGATAATAGATTATGGTGACCAGCCCCTCCAATTCTGTTCTGCAACTTGCTACATAGTGCAACCCAACACCACAGGATGTCTGCTACAGCACAAGTTACCAAACTGCCATAGTGGCAGCCATCTGGTCCAAGGTCATTGACCTTTCTGTTGGGAGAAAAACGGAGCAAAAAAAACAATTTTTTTTCTACAGCAAACTTAAATGTAAAGTAATAGTTACATTTAATCTTGGACATGTTGGGAAATCCCAATTTCACGTTCAAAAATGGTACATGCTGCTTTCTCAACTAAGCACTCAGTATCTATGAGAAAGAGTGTGAGAAGGTCAAACACACAGCACTACCAGCGGACTAGCCCCCTTCTGTAGTGCTTGCACAACTGTGTGGCCCAAGGTCTCCAGAAATGGAGATGGGCACGACCTCTATGTTCTGCACAGAGTGGAACGAGACCTTTTACTCACCATCACAAGTGAAGGTGACAGGTTCCGAGTTCTTCTGTAGTGTGTGGATGACCACCTTGAGTGTACTCTCCTCTCTACAGTGCTGGTAGCGCAGGATGGGGCTCACCAGATGGCCTGGGTTGGTCGTGGCGTGATCGTACTTGTACTCCATCCGTAACCTGGGAGAAGAAATACGAATTTAGGCCGGATTTAAGTCCAATTTCTTGCGTTGGAGATAATTACATATTGTATTAGTTCAAACTTGCTTCATAGTTTGTTTTGTAGTATTAGTCATATAGAACAGGTACCGGTATGACATCATATACAAGTCAAGACTAGTCACGTCGTTCAGATTCAGAATTATGATAAACTTACTTGGAAACAACTTGTGCAAAAATGGAGGCTTCCTCATCTCTCTCCTGTGCCAGATCAAACAGTCCATCTCCAAAAAACACTCGATTCGCCTGGAAAAGAACAAGATCAAGATGGTTAAAGAGCCTGGTGAAGACCTGAATTGTATCAGTTCTCTTTTACATATTACAACTCTTGACTTGAATCTTTGAAAATACATTTATACAAGATTCTAAAGAACAAGAGGTCGTCAAATTTTTGCAGTTATCAATATGATTGCAGAAGGTTACTGTTGTAGATATGGTTATGATCAAATAAGAACAAAACTATCCATACCCTTGCCAAGTCAATTATTATTATATAACTGTTACAGTAGGCATGACTTAGATCTTACTGTTAACTGTAATGTACATTAATCTCCAAGCAGATGTTTTGGTGGCCGCAAAAGACAGTATCAAACTGGCCAGGCAGTATCCATTTTCCAGGCAGTATCCATTGGTCACAAGGTGGCTACTGGATACTCCTTTGGCCAATAGATACTGCCTTGCCACCGTATGATCTGCTTGGAGATAAATAATACTTTACCTGTGTCTGTGCTGCAGTGGAGTGGTATGTTGTCGCCGGTCTCTTCTCTTCCTTTGCGCTCGCAACTGGCGACTTTCTCGCCGGAACCGTCATGCAGCCATCTGCCGAATCCCGCCGGGCGTACGTCTGCTGCGGCTTCCAAGCGGGCACTGTCATGGATCCGTCGCTCGGTGCCGCCAAAGTTCTCCTTTTGGAAGTCTTGGGAGGGAGCGGGGGAGGTTGGACTGCCGCGGTGTCGGCGCTACTGACATTATAGAGCTCCCCCGTCGAGTGACTGAGTCCTGTGGTACTAACTGCCAAAAGGTTCGAATTCAACACCCCGGGTTTGGACAGCTCCCCCATACTACCAGTCCTGCCACTTTCCGCTAACTTCCCGCCGGGGGCTTTGTCCTTGTCTAAGAGGTTGACCCCTGGAGCTACACTTTCCTTCATGGTAAGTTTTTCTAGAAAATCCAAGTCGAAGGCGGATAGTCCCGAACTCGGGTCTGAGCCAGCTGCAGCTGCGGCGGCACCTGCGGGGCCAGGTGCAGTTTTGGTCACACTTATGGCGGGGTTACGATAGTCTGTAAACAACAGTTCGTCCGTCAGGCTGGCGAAGTTGGCGGCCATGCTTGTGCGTTCCCCAGAAGAAGACGAAGATAGCGATTGCGGTCGGCTGGAACTCGCGGCCCCGACGGACATTTGGGCGGAGAAATTCAAACTGGACGCGTCGGGCTGTCCCCACAGCGTCGTGTCCCCAAAAGACGGATTGCTGACAAACAGGGCGCTGTTGTGCGGTACTACAGGGCTGTGGGGTGGCAGCTGTGGCATTGGGGCTGCAGTATTCGTGTCAAAAGATAGAGGGCGCCCATTCCAAGCACTGCTACTAGCACTGAAAGGGTTTGTGCTGCTGGTAGCACTGAAAGGGTTCAACGACGCAGACCCAGTTGAAGATAGAATTCCGTTCGATTGGAAATCTCCGACGGAAAAAGTTGCCGGTCGCTGGGATTGGATCCCGCCGGGTGTCAAAGGTCGCGAGCCGAGAGCGGTGGCGCCGGGCGCCATGAGCGGGGCGCTGAGGCGGGCGGACTTTAGCACGTCCTGAAGACTGTTGGAGGAGAAGGAGATCAAGTCCCCCTCACTGACTGCTGAGGAACTGGCAGCACTAGTGCTAGTACTGCCACCTGGGTAAATAAAGGAACAAATTGTCAAGTCAAACATTCACTCAAGCTAGGGGCTGGTCCATTAATGTTGCACTTATTTGGGGGAGACTAGAACATGGGCTGGTACATTACTTGTACTCGCATACCATTCTCTAGTACCTAAGGCCACACTGACTTAATTTTATGGATGACATCTTCTGAAGACCCCCAAATTAGTGCGCATGCGCACGGTAAATAAAAGAAATCTAGCCAAAAAATGCTGCTGAACCACAGGAATACAAAGCTGGTATTGTGAATTTGCGGTAGGGCCAGAGCCTTGTCGGAGGTGATTTTTCCTATGGCAAAAATAAATGTGAGTGCAGATGTAGTCCATAAAATTGAATCTATGTGGCCTAATTACATTAAAAAGAATCCTATACACAGCTTGTGAATTGATTAAAAAAATTAAATGACAGCAAAAAGTAGAGAATGCACATAAACACCATTACATGAAACGACAAATAGAAACTTCTGAAGCATAATGTTGTTAGCAACTTTCAAGTCTAATTAAATTACAATTTAAAGTTACATCATTGTATTGAAGAATGAGATAAACCTCTTAGTAGTCTTACTTGTCTGAATAGTTCCCATAGAGGAGGGTCTGGGCAGGGGCCGTGGGACGTGTTCCCGCGGTGCTGGTGTAGGACGAGCGGTAGAACTCTTCGGCGCCCGCGAGCCAACAGATCCGCCATCTTGCTGCCCCACCGTAGACCTTTGCGTACCGGACGGTGCTGTGTCCCGCCTCTGAGTCGCGCTCGGGACCTGCGACTGCTGACTGCTCGGTCCCGGCCACGTCGTCTGTCGCTGGCGCTGGAACTGTTCCAGGGCAGCTGCCTCTTCCCGCAGAGCTGCCCGCAGCTCATCCTCAGAAATGGTGGTCATCTCCCTCTCACTATACTACTCACACACACTGCACAGAACCTAGCTATAGCTATATAGCCTTTAGATCTTGTGACCTCTCAGCTATTTGTGTAGTTCTGCTCTTCATGTGAACCAACATGTGCAACCTGCAACAAGACAAAACAATCATGCTTTTATTTATCCAGTAGGTATCCAATACAATTTCAGAGCAGCAAAATTGGAAATATTTGAAATAAGGCAATCTTTATGATAGTGACACAAACTGCTTCACATTAGCACATTTCAATCAGTATTTCATAATTTGGGTAACTTAAAACTGCAGAAACAAGCCCCAAGATGAGTCCTTTATTTTATGGGTGGTAGCCTAAAAATCAGCCAAGGCCCCTTCCATAACCATTTTCCATCAGAATTTTGGATATTTTGCTCCATGGGGGTCAACATACATTGGGATAGTGTGGTTTTAATTCAGCATGTATACTAGATAAGTGACTAGAATATTGACTTTGAAAAATTGGGCTTCCAAGCCCTAAAAACTGCACTGGATGCATTTAATTTATCAACAATAGTCAACAGACTGCCATTCCCTTCACAAAGGTATGAACAAAGAATGGTAAGGAGGACATTGTAAAAACGTTAGAAATTTAATTGATCTTTTATTGAATTTCAAAGTCATTGATCTTTTTATGTCTTTTAAGGGATTTTTAAGGCCATTCATTCAGTAGCCTGGGTACCATCCTACTTGTATGCCGGGGCTCCCACACTCGCTTCCCTAACAAGTTACTTGTTAATAGGGAAGCGAGTGTGGGAGCCCTGGCATACAAGTAGGATGGTACCCAGGCAATTCATTCAGTTGTCCCTTTTCTGCTTTTGTGTTTTTTTTCCACAAAACACACGAACATGATACATTCAACATGTGGCAACCACCCACATATTCCTTTCTTGACCTTTGTGGTTTGACAAGAGTAACAGATGTTGTTTGAACCAAGGAGCTTGTTTGGAAAAAAAAAACATACCGACTGACCAGTGAACAAATAGAAAGTACAGTGTATTGAAAGTTTGATCAACGGAGAGTCCCTAACTAACATCTTTAATCACGTGGACTCAGGTACAATTATAAGAGATAATGATCAGAGAAAAATCATCTCTACTAGTACTACATGTAAAAAACGAGCTGACAGTAATATGTTTCTGAGGTGAATTTCATAATAAGCTACAAAGTACACTTTTGCTCTCAGCCCCGAATAAACATAACGGTATGTTTTTTTTCACCAAACATCCACCGGATATGTTCTTATTTTATGGACGGTACTTGACGGTATGCTTTTAATAATGTTTCAAAATCAGGGCATAGTTATATTAACAGCATTGAAAATGCATGCTCTCACAGCCCATGTTTTTCTGTGTGCAAGTTGTTTGGAAAGCCTGGTTACCCCTGCGGGTTTCTTTGGATATCATAGAAGAAAACACCACTTTTGCATAATTACATGTCACACATGCATGGGCAGAACTTTACTGATGCCAAACCTAAGGCAGATTTACTGATAATAATATCTGTACTTTTGCAAGGAATAGATTACTTCTTTTTCAAATGTAAATTATACAGGGGATTCCACTTATTTGTATTTCTTATAATTGTATATTTTGGGTAATTGTATAGAATTCTAAAACACCAAACCATTTACCATTCACACCATTGTAAAAACAATGCATAATTGTATAGCGCATTATCGTATATTCCGGCGTATCGTATAGAATTTGGTCCAACTAGATCGTATAATGACCCAGAGCTACACATTAAATGTTAGCAAAGACGGCATGAATGGACAGTTAAGTGCCTCACTGTATAAAGACACTGGACCACCAAAAAAATAAAAAATGAGTGTTTAGGGCCACAAAGAATGATGTTTTCTTATAAACATTAGCGCGTCTGCCGGCGCGCGAGCGGCCCCGGTGGTAGTGTAATATTTTACGTACATGTACACTGTATCATGTCAGAGATATGTGCTAATATAATGGGCGTTACTTAAAGTACTAGAAAAAAATTGAGGAAGCCCAGAATTAAACATGACCTACACGATTAAGTGAAAATGAAGGTTGAAAGGGTTCAAATATGCTGAATGATGACCGACAAAAATTACATCTGGTGAAGTCCTAACCACTCTCTTCCTGGGCCGCGGCCTTTTGTGTTTGTCTCGTCAACTATTTTGTACACATGTACAAATGTAGAACCCTAATGTATACACTCTTATAGTCTTAAACATGTACATGTGTGACAGGCTGAATAAAATAAAGTTCTAAACAGGAACTATGCGGCTCCAGATGTCTTTCTGAGGGACGACTGCGTGTACGAGATGTCGGTTAGCTTGAGGAATGAATCCCCTCTACTTTATACATGTACATGTACATTGTTGTATCAGCTGACTTCCTTTCAAACACTACTCAATTCTTTCCTGGAACATTTCCACCCATTTCCTGGAAGAGCCCATTATGCATATATATAAATCTGTATGCCTGAGGCACACAACATACATGTGATCATGTTACTTAACCTAACCTGCCATACCACAGTAGGCAGATGCTTGAGTACATCACTTAACCTTATCAAACAATATAAACAACGGAATCGCATCACAGGTAAACCTATTGTTGGATCTAAACTTTAGTGATCACATGAAGTACTGGACTTGTACATAAAATTTAAACGCGAGATATCTTTCAAGGAACGTGGAACAAGAGGATCAAATGTCAGCTGACACTTCCGGAATGTATTTTTGGTTGTTCTGTACTTGAAGTTTTGAGTCACGACAGTAATTCAGGCCCCTTCGCGGAAGTCACGCCACTTGGTGACTAGCCTGGTATCCAGTCAATCGTGGTTGGGGCAGGCTGTCTTCGGGGCTCTGATAGTTTTCCCCCGTCCGGCTCAACAGACCGCCCGGTAGGAGTTACGCCTAGGAGTTTTGCATGCCCAAACTCCCGTTGTGCAAAACCTACCGGGGAACCTAGCTGAGTCGGGCGGGGAGGAGCTTCTGCAGCCCCGAAGAGAACCTTCCCCAACCACGATCCAGGCTACTTGGTGACTTGTAGTGACATCACGGGGCCTTGTCAAAACTTTCACACCCGCCGACATACATGACCTGGATACAGAAGCTTCACGTCCACAGTCCACAAACTATTGAAATACGAAGGGGAACGGCTGCAGTTCTCTCCACTGAAGTAACTGATAGATTTCTGAATTTTGATATTGGGTCAACGTTTAAAAAATTGCATATTTTGTCCCTTGAGAAATTTGGGAGAAAATAAATTTTTTCAGGGAGCTCGACAGGAAGTTTTTACCGGCTCATATTCGGATGCAAAGTGAGCGATGATTTCGAAGTGGGAGAAAAAAATCAGAAGAACTACGTCTTCTATATATGATATTTGTTCAAAGATCAGCAAAGTCGATGCATTTTGGCAAATTGACAGGTAATTATCGGCAATTTTCGAAGAAATCAATCGCTTACCTGCATAGGGAGCCGCCATCTTGCCTATTAGCATATGACTATCTCAAACATGCGTTGATTGGCCAGTATACTTCCCTACAGCCAATCAGCGATAGGGTAACAGACGGCTGTGAGATTGGTGCAGATGTTGACCTTTGCCCCGAATGCCGACGTGTTCATTTCACATACAGGAAGAAAAGAAGACAACATCCCTTCATTTTCCTTCTAAATACAAGGTGAGTTCTGCCGTTTTTAACTGCTTTTTAACAAAAATTCTTAATTAAAACGATAAACACAGCCATCATCTATACATCTGATTAAGAATTCAATCGTTATCTGCTTCAAATTTATTTTAAGAGGGTTCGAAACATCACGGATTCAGTAACATGTTTGTCAAAAAACGTCGCGTTCTGAGAAGCCATATGGACGCCAAGTCAAAATGTGTATTCATGGATGTACTTTAATTTGGGTTCAATAGGTTTTTGATAATCATTGCTTTAAGTATGAATTCTGATAATTTGAACAAACCATTTTAAAATCAGTTCAAGTAGATGATTATCATAACTAAATACTAATGCATTAATAATTTGCTAATGTTCAGCGATTTTTCTTTGCGTGGGTGTGGGGTTATCTGACGAATAGGAAATGTACACGTTGACGATTTTTGTAATCAAGACGTTTGGACATTGCGTTTGAACATTATTGTTGTAAAATAGAACATAATTGTTGTAAAATAGGTAAATCTTGGTATTCCAACCAAAATTAAAAAGAAACAACCATAATACCCTTTTCTCAAATAATGATTTTAAATCTAAGCCAATATCTTGAGTTGTTGGTTGCTGAGATATGGTTCCACAAATGTTTGTATGTAAAATCCTTGACAGACACTAGATACAATTTGTCAGCTATCTGAGATTTGCATGCATCATCCACATAAGAAAAGGTCAATGTGTAAAATTATACAGACATTAGACAGATCTGATCTTTGATAATTAACCTATCAGTTTGATTTCTATATCATTAGAAAACGGATTCAATGATGTATTTTCTTCCTATCAAGGATCTGTGCAAGGAGGTTGAATACAAGGTTTAAAATCAACCTCCTTGATCTGTGTTTGACATGTATCAACCATGTTTACAAGAAAAATGTCAAAATGTAAACTTATACAGACATGATGTCTGAGACATCACACAGTTTTTATATCAAGGAAGAAGATTCAAGGATGTCAGTTGTTCCTATCAAGGAGGTCCTTGACAGACAGTCGACAATTTGTCACCTGTCAGTGATCTGTCAACCTCACTGATAAGAAACGTGTCAGGAATTTAAATACAGACGTCACACACTGACAGAACTAATCTTTGATACTCTATCAATATCAGTTTGATTGAAGGCAGCATTTTCAGCCACAGATAGATATTTCACCCACAGAAAAAAATTCATTGCACCTCCCAGTATTTCGAGCCCTGAACAGGATTCCTTCATTCAAACAAAGGCAAAAATCAAATTTAAAAATCATTCAGACTAAAAATGCAGATCTCCATTCTGGAAAAAAAATCAGGTAACAGTGGATACAGTTTTGATACAGGGCCAGACCTGGACCTATACAAGTTTACCTAAAAGAAAAAAGTGCTTTCCTTGAAAAGTTGTACCTGTATTGAACTGTCCTTTTAATTTAATTTGTGTGTGATTTTTCAGGATGTTGACCCTGAGACGATGTCTGCTGCTGGCAGCCCTGGTGCTGCTGGTATCCCATGATGCCATGCTTGCACCGGTCGACCCCAAGAAGCAGCAAGTGGAAGAGAATGAGACAGAGAAGAAGGTAGAACGAAAATAGTTCCTAACTTCTTACATCACGATTTCACAGAAACAACTGAGTGCAAGTTTGTTTGCCGGTACAGATATCTATTATGTAACATATCTTCAACCTTTAGTCTGCCAAGTTTAACTTTAATCTGATAAGTAGACATTCATTCAGTTTAACAAAGGGGCATACCAGTTTTCTAGTCAGTGTCCATCTTTCTGTCATTTGACGGAATTTTGCTGCAGCACATTTCATTCCTTCATTTCCATTCATTCGTCCATCCATCCATCCATCCATCCATCCATCCATCCATCCATCCATCCATCCATCCATCCATCCATCCATCCATCCATCCATTCCATCCATCTTGTGTTCTCGATGCTGTACTTACAATGTGTACTTCCTAAACAGGAAGAGTCCCAGGACACAGGGCTACATTATGACAGCTACCTTCAGGAGGTGGTCAGAGTCCTGGAAACTGATCCTGAGTTCAAGAAAAAGCTTCAAGAGGCTGACATTGAGGACATCAAGGTATATTACAAAGTCTTACATATCCTTTTAAGTATGCCATGCTATGCATATGTACATGTACATTCTTTTAAGTTATTTTGGGAGATGTGGTAGGATTTTGTGGAGAGTGGGAGCACCATTGCTTCGTTGCATGGGGAGAGCCCTGAAGAGCAAAATCAGAGCTCGAAATACTGGGTGTAGTGTGCAGCTTAGTGCACCCAAATTTGGAGCTGTGCACTTACTAGTAATTTTTGTCTGTGGGTGCACCAGTGCACCCCAATATTTTCATAGGTTTATGTATCTAAAGATGTTAAATGGTATAGCAGACAACATAGTCTTAACATCTAAGTGTCTGAAAAATAATAAAATCATTGCTATTATTTTTCTTAATGAATAACATAAGCTTTTGCTGACAATATTTTTTAAATTTTGCACCTAAGATATTTTTTTAGGTTTATTAGGTTGGGTGCACCAGTGCACCTAGTCCCAAGAATGAATTTCGAGCCCTGAAAATATATTTCATCTTCTGTCCCTTTCACAGTTACAAACCTTACAGAGCCTATCTTTTACAGGAGTCTGGTTACGTTTGCCAGTTTCTATGGGAAATATGAAGCTTTGTATTTAAATGTTTCTGTATCCTTATTCTCCAGTCTGGTAAACTGTCGGCTGAACTGAACCTGGTGGCGCACAACGTCCGGTCCCAGCTGGACGAACTGAAGAGAACGGAGGTCACCAGACTGCGCAAACTGCAGCGTGTACGCATGGACATGCAGAATGGCAGGAACGGTAGGTTTGAACGTTCAGCATGGTGAAATGGTCTGTGAGCAAGCCAGCATCACTCATAATTTACTACGTGTGGCAGCGTGCTCGACTTGGAACCAAGAGGTCCCGGGTTCGAGTCCTGACATGCCACCAATCTTGTGCCCAAGGGCACTTTACACGACTTTCCTGAGTATTATCTTGTCCTGTATCCGTCCTCTGTGTTAGTGGCGGCATGAAATAAGTTGATATAACTTGAGTGTGCCGTCACCATGTCTAGTCATGAAATGTTGGAATATGTAAAAAAAAATGCAGGAATGAAGTCTCCTAGAAGTTTTGAAACTACATGTAACCATGCAGCATATCTACTAGCCGTGGCGACTCTTGACTCGGGCTTACATTGCATTACCCTCAGCAAGAGTCGTGGAAAGATCCATTGGCAGAACTGCACATTTCCCGTTGGCTGCTCGATGCTCCGTTTTTGACCCGGTTTTTTGCTGTCCCGAGCTTCCCTACAATATAACTCCACAATTGGCCGGGTTGCCGATGTTCAGATCGGCCTAAATATTCCACAGCGCGACGGGAAAGTACTAAAATAGCTAGTCGGTACATCCGCGCCGCCATTTTGGATATAGTCCGGAATGTCCGCTACCGCCGTCGGGAACGCTCGGTAGGCTTTCCGGTTATGATCGGAGAGTTTTCGGTCCCGCTTCGGTAATCGTGGCGCTACCGAGCGTTCCCGACGGCGGTAGCGGACATTCCCGACTATATCCAAGATGGCGGCGCGGATGTACCGACTAGCTATTTTAGTACTTTCCCGTCGCGCTGTGGAATATTTAGGCCGATCTGAACATCGGCAACCCGGCCAATTGTGGAGTTATATTGTAGGGAAGCTCGGGACAGCAAAAAACCGGGTCAAAAACGGAGCATCGAGCAGCCAACGGGAAATGTGCAGTTCTGCCAATGGATCTTTCCACGACTCTTGCTGAGGGTAATGCAATGTAAGCCCGAGTCAAGAGTCGCCACGGCTACATATCTACCTATAATTTATGTATTTGTGTGGATTACCCAGACGTAGCTTACTTGGCATTCTTTAGACTCCAGTGTTTTATAGATATTTTAAATACAATGTATCAAAATGGCTTTTCTTTGCTAAAGCTTAGAATCTGATTTATTATTAAAGTGTCTGTTTCAACTGTGACGTTGATGTCAGGGGAAAACAATGGGGTTGATTCAAACAGTGAGATATGACCTCCCATGTACCTCCTGGTTCATTTGCAATATATTAAAGATGATTTTTTTTTATAGAAGTGAGCTTAATAGGTACTGCTTTCCCAAAATATCTGTTCTAACTAAATCTTCTGTTAAACAGGATTACACCAGGGTGACTTGAGGGATGTGAAGAAAATGTACGAGGAGTTTAACCATGTGGACCACAGCAACCCTCGCTCATTCGAGGAGGAGGATCTCAACAAACTTATCCAGGCAGTACGTACAGTATCTTTTTTTTTTTTAAATTTCAAATATACAGTAGAGCTGTTCACAAGTGCTTTGACATTGTGTAAGGCCTAGGAAATTAATGTTTCCCAACCGACCCTAGAAAGAACTGCGAACCCTAGCCTTTTTTTGTGTCTGATTGACCTTAGATCTGTAGCTCCAAGATCTGACACTTGAATGATGAAACGTTGTAAAATCAATTTTCCAACATTGACAAAAATGTATGTGTCCTCATGCAAGTTTTATTGTAAAGCTGCATTGTATGAGTTGAATCAGTGGAGATAGCCAAAGTCTAAAAAAAAAAGAAACTAGAAAGGCCAATATTTGCTTTGGAGCAAATACAGCGATGGGTTCACCACATTTTACCACATGGCAGGGAACGAATGAGAAACACAAGGGAAAACAATGATTTACATTCAATTTGATATAACTATAATATGAAGTAACATACAACTAAAACAACAGTTGGATAGCTATTCCCTACTTTATTGGTTAGGATTTTTAATTGCATAATGCAAACTGTTGATTTTCAAAATAAAAAAAAATTCATGCCCCGCATTCCAATGCTGGAGCAGAAAGCTTGAAATACCTACCAAACACTTGAATAAAGACATACTGTCAGTATGGAAATGCTCTGTGCAGGTGTTAATCAAGTTAAATCCCAACAGCCAATCAGCAAGAAATGCTCTGTGCAGGTGGAAATGCTCTGTGCAGGTGTTAATCAAGTTAAATCCCAACAGCCAATCAGCAAGAAGTATAGAGGAAAGCTGCATGCCTATTGGTTGATGCCCTGCATTCCATTGTGATGACTCATGCCCAGACATGGTAAACACGGCAGACTAACACAGTAATACATTTGCTATAACACAGCCAAAAAACTCAAATAAAACCATTCTAAAAGCCTGTATCACAAAAATTTAAAAAACGCCTAGGGGTATTTGCCCACTGTACCTCCATACCAAATTTCAGGACCTTAGGCCCTAAAATGAAGAAGCTGAATCCATTTAAAAAATGGCAGGAGAAGAAGGAGGAGAAGGAGGAGAAGGAGGAGAAGGAGGAGAAGAAACATCAGAAAAAGCAATATGGGTTCACCACCACTTCGTGGTGTGGTGAACCCATAAAAAAGTTCTACCTACTGACCCTATTTTTTCAGAACTGAAACAGAAAATACAACATTTTTTCATAGCTAGGCCGTAAAAATTATTCAATGCAATTTTAGTGCATTTTGGATGAGGAATCTGTCTGATATTGACATTTACTGTCATTTCACATTGACATTTACTGTCATTTCACAGCACATTTTGTCATCATTTCATACTTAAATTGTTCGAAAAAGCCCCCCAATCAAGCTACATTTTTGTACCACCAATAAGTAACTGTAGAACCAGTCTATGATACAAAACAAACAACCGTTTTTCACATTTTTGCCTCACAAAATATGCTATGGGATAGAGACATGTTCTCAAAAGTCAAATTTTTGGCTAGGAAGTAGACATTTCTATCAATTTTCTTACTACTTGTCCTGTTGAATGTTCCAGGTGGTCCAGGACTTGGAGAACTACGACCAGAAGCGGCACCTGGAGTTTAAGAGGTACGAGATGGTGAAGGAACACCAGCGGAGAGAGAAGCTCAGCCAGCTGAGCGAGGAGGACAGGAAGAAGGAGCAGGAGAGATACGAGGAGATGCAGCGCAAACACAAGGACCACCCCAAGATGAACCATCCCGTAAGTCTCATAACTTTTGTGGCATGATTCTGTTATCATGAAACTTCAACTGTGTCTGTAGTAACAGGGCTCAAAATGTTGGGTGCATGTGCTCCTTAGTGCACTCAAATTTGGAGCTGTGCACCCAATTTTTTTCTGTCAGTGCACTTAAGTGCACCCAAATATTTTTGTAGGTATTTTATACATATTAAATGTGTAATAGTATATTAATGTAGGATAGTATGTAAAAGGATATTCTTGGCATCTAAGTGTCAGCAAAATGATAACATCTTTGATGTAGTACTTGTTTAAGATTTTGAAGTTAGCCTTCATTTCAGATTCAAGCTCAGAATATTTTATATGGTGCACCCAGAAAATTTTTTGTACACCTAATTTTTTTCGGGCACCTATTCTCAAAAATGAATTTTGAGTCCTGAGTAATCATTGTACAATGTTAAATCTTATTCCAACACAACCGAGAGAGTACACTCAGAGAGAATAAATTTTCAATGACCACAACCATCTTCATCACGATAATCAGTTACATTGCTTTTTGTCTGTTCTTAGGGCAGCAAAGATCAGCTGGAGGAAGTCTGGGAAGCCGATGGTCTTGCTAAGGAAGACTTCAACCCCAGGGCATTCTTTGGGATGCATGGTAAGTACTTGTCTTAGACTATCATCTACAATCTACAATCCAAACAGATCCCCAAAGCCTTTTATCTATACCATTTTTCTATGACTGTTCAGCAGTTCTTTCAAAAGAGCTCTCGATACTAAATTATGAGCAGAGTAATGTCTAATAATGCTTTGATCTGTTCAAACCACCCTTTTACAGTACAAGTTACGAGCATTTGAATCATTTTCTTTTCCTCCAAAGATACAAATGGCGATGGCTACCTGGATCCAATGGAGTTGGAGGCACTCTTTGAAAAAGAGGTATGTTGCATGTTTTTTGCTTGCATTTAAGCTTGCCTTGGCCAAGTGGGTACAGTGTTTGCCTTGCATTTGGTCGTAACTTATATTAGATACCCGGCTGTGTCATATCGAAAAATTAAAAAATGGAAAAGGTATGGGAGTTGAACACATAACACTATCAGCAGACTAGCCCCTTGCTGGTGTACAGTGATTGCATAACTGTGTGGCCCAAGGGCTATGGAACTGGAGATGGGCACCACCTGCAATCTGGCGCAGGATTATTTTGGGTGTTACTAATTTATGTACTTTGTATGTTTGGGTTCTGAAGTGAGTGGGTGGGAACTGGGTTTCACTTGATTGACAGGGTTTTGACCTGATATGCCCTGACTTCAATGTGGTCACCAGGAATGTATGAAACATAAATCATTAGTGTAATAGCATGGTGTAAAGTTTCATCATGCAATCTTATTTGAATCTCTAGTTTCTTGTTGGAATGTTTGTTAAAGTTTGGTCTCATGATTGCATTTCTCTTACTGACAGTTGGAGAAGGTTTACAAGGAGAGTAACGAGGAAGATGACTTGCGAGAGATGGAGGAAGAGAGGGCTCGCATGAGGAAACACGTCTTACGAGAGGTGGGCTCACAGGCTCTTTTGTTGATGACACTCTTTTAGTTCACAGTGACCTGTCTTGTCTTGTGCCATCTCTTCCTGTGTGCATGTCATATACAAACATTAAGGCTTATCACTTTGTTTCTTTATTAATGATAGCATGAAAGTGTCCAGCAAACAAAGACAAGCACATGGGGCATACATACATGTACATACATGTAGCCTGGTTACCTAATGTAGGACTCGGGAGCTATAACTTAGGTCTGGTAACCAGGCTAATACACACACACAACCGAACACACACACACACACACACACACACACACACACACACACACACACACACACACACACACACACACACACACACACACACACACACATACACAAACATACACACACACGAACACGCATGCACAGGCACATGACCCCATGTACTAGCACTCACAACACAACAACCAAGCAGTTTTCTTTAGAACAGAGGTATTTTTTTTCTTATTCATTTCTAATTATGACTTTTGACCCACCCAATTTTCTACAAGGTGGACACCAACAAGGACTCCATGGTGAGCTTTGAGGAATTTTCAGATGCCACCAAAAGAAAAGAGTTTGAGCAGCCGGAAGAGGATAGTTTTGAGGTGAGAATATACCAGATATCAGATTTGTGTCATTTTTTTTCATTTTTATGCATAACAAATTGATAAATGTGCGCCCTGTTCAAAAGAAGAGACATTTACAGGGCTCGAAATTCTTTTTTAGGAATAGGTGCAGGTTCACCCAACCTAAAAAAAATAGGTGCACAAAACAGTTTTTGGGTGCACCATATAAAACAAACCCTAATTACAGATCTTACTGCTCCTCTTCTGAGCTGGAATCTGAAATGGGAGCTAACTTAAACTAAAATCTTAAACAAGTACTTCTACAATTATCATGTGATTTTATTATTTCTGACACTTAGATGACAAGAATATCCTGTATATTATTATTAATTAATAATTATAATTTATATTTTTGTAGGTAGTTTTGTAATATACATTTGATATGTACAAAACTACCTACAAAAATATTTGGGTGCACCAGTGCACCCACAGAAAATAAATTGGGTGCACAGCTCCAATTTTGGATGCACTAAGGTGCACATGCACCCAGTATTTCCAGCCCTGATTTATGATTAGGCCACAACAAGTAAATTTTATGGATGACGTCCTTTGGAGCCCCTAAATCTAATGCGAGAGGGCGAAAAAAAACAAGAAGGGCCCTAAAAAACAAGATGCCTAGATTAGAAATATACTAAGAGACGACAAATGTTAGGACACAAATTGAATGAGGTGACACAGTGTAACATGCAAGAAGTCTTTTATTCATCGTCAAAACAGCAATAAATCAGGTGGAACAGCAGTTGTCGTCCTGTCCTGTTTCTTTCATCACATTTTTGCAGGCCTGCAGAAACAAAGCATAAAATTGCGGCACTGTCGTCACTCTTTGGTCATAGTTACAGGAAGCGGAATTTCTTGTTTTTTTCTAGGAACAGGCCAAAATCAATGCGCGCGCGGACGTCATCCATAAAATTTACTACTGGTGTGGCCTTATGAGGAACACCTTGTCTTAACTGCCTTCTCTACACCCACAGCCCCTGGATGAGACAGACTTCTTCACAGAAGAAGAACTTGAAGAGTTTGAGCAGCAGCTGGCGAGGGAAGCGGACGATCTGCGGCAGAAGGAGGTAGAACTGGCCCGGCAGCGCGCCGAGCACCAGCAGAAACGACAGCAACTTCAGCAGGTCAAAATGAAACAAAAACAGGTCCAAACCATCAACTGTCCCGTCTCCTTTCTCTGTTCTTTCTTTGGTCTTCTCTTTGGGGCTCGTAACCTGGACCATTCCCTTCCTCTGACAGGCAAAGTAATATTATATCCTTTCAATATTTTGGAGCTAACAATTCGAAAGTAAATTTAAGTAATAACTCGTAAAATGAAAAAAAAAGAAATTTGTATGAAATTTACACTTTGGATGCTCATCAAGTTTATTAGAAAGCAAATTGTTTTCAAGTCAACTTTAATGCAATAATACAGTCAAAAATGTTACTTTTGGAAATACGTAAAGGTCTTTACATTTACAAAGAAGAAGAAAGGTTTTATAACAACAATTTAGTCACATTTTTTGGTACTTTTTTGGTAATACCACATATTGGACTTTCAGTGAAACCAAGTTTAAATTACAGCACACTTTTTTGTAGTTTCTTCTCAACATCATCAGTTTGAAGATTCTGAAAAAGTTCAGGTTCAAGCCCCATGTTTTTTCACTGAAGTTGCTTTTGTTTATTGTGCACACCCACTGCACTGTGTTCCACTGCACTGTGTTCCATGTCTAGACTAGGGGAAGCCTTTTTTTATAAGCATGTCAACTTGAAAAAACCCTCACCATTATTCTGTACAGTCATGCAGATCAAAATCCCAAATTCACCTGCCTTCGGCCTATACATGTAACTTGTACACAAAAATAAGTTGCTTTTTTTAAAGTGGTAAAATGCTGGTGACTTGTTACGGCTTCAAAGTACAATGTAGTACATGTAGGTCCTGGTGTATTCACTCATGTGGCATGTCATGTCTTTTCTCCACTGTCATGTATATGTTGCTGTCTTTACATGTATGTCTGCACACTCTCATGTAGCTTTACACTGTAATACAATGTACACATGTAGCTTGTGACTGTTCAGGTTTGTGTGCAAAAGTGAATTGCAGAACACAATAGTTTTAATCATCATCATCTGATTCATCATAAAAAAAATTGAGGGAAATCATTTGAGTGACTTACATGTAGTTTTCTAGTTGGGCTGTCGCATGGACTTTTAGACTAAGTCATGCATCATTTTCCCAATTTTGTATATGTTTAATGTACATGTACATAGCATTTCTTTCACCCTCTTACTTACACTTTTCACTTCTCATTTCCATTTCTTAATAAGACCTTTGAAAAAAATGTTGTGTTTACTGTTTTAGTCTAGAGGTTGGTAGATACTTTAGAGATTATCTTTTTTTTTTAGACTTTGACGACCTCTATATACCTAGTAGTGATCCAAGTTATAGTAAAATACAGTTTAACAATTTGAAAGTAAAATTTTTGACCCTTGTACTTTTAAGTTGTAGGGGTCCACAGTCGCACAAAAAAAGGCTTGGGTTGGCAGTTTTTGCTAGTGTCACTCAGGAAACAGGAAACACAACTGTTTTTCCTAGGCCTAAGCTCCTTTCAATTTAACACACACAATTTCAACATTGAAAAATCAAAAAAAATGTGCCAAGGGAGCTTTTAACTAAACATGCCTTCTTAAGGTACATGTATGTGTTCTTTATTTGTTTATTTGTTTGTATTTTGCAGGTGGTTCAGATGAGTCAGGAGCAGGAGAGACAGGCGGAGGCTCAGGGTCAGCAGGTTGCCGTGGAGACTAACCAGGAGTCGGACCAGGCCGCGGCGGGACAGGACGCCGTGCCAGCCGAGGTGGCACAACATGCCGCAGATGGGGAGGGGGGGCAGCCCGCAGGTCAGTTTTCAGATGTAGCATGATTTTTTTGTTGTCATGGCCAACTACAGTATACTAAATGTACATGTTGTACATGATAGGCCCATGGCAGTACTAGGGCTTGGCCCATGACAGAATTACAATATAGGGCATAGAAAATTATCATAATGACATAACCATTGTTTTTTATGTCAAAAGCAACTTAGGCTTTGTCCCCGAAATAAAAATCAGGGCACATTAAACTAAGAAGCAAAAATTGATAAGAAATGTTACGTGTGCATGTACTTTTAATAAAAACAATGACTATACATGTATATACATATTGATTGTATTTGCATTGCTCCAATTCTGTAACTATGTGAATATGCTTGCATCATCCCAGTTCTTTACAATGGCCCTCCTACCTACCCATAGATGTGTTATGGTTTCTATTTAACAGTCTTTAGTGTGAGGCATGCCTCCTGTACATTCTGACTCTCTGAGTGTTGCAGGCAAATTTGTGTGCTTCAGGTAATTTGCAATGTTACACATTATGTCAGTGAAAAAAATATTCATCCTAATGTCACTCCTCCCCACCCCCACAGAGATGCATGAGCCTGTAGCTGCAGCTGTAGCAGCAGATGCCGTGGCTGTAGGTGGGAACCTGCCACCTGAGGGACAGCTGGGAGAGGAACAGGTGCAGCATCAGGAGGCACAGCAACCGGCATCATAAGTCCTGGCTTTGGATCAAGGCTGGTGCTGGGGTGGGCTCAAAAAGTCATTTTTCATCAACAAAATACCAACACCAATTTTATTTGTTGGTTCTCTGATTTTTTCAGAAAAAATATGAAGTGAGGGGGGTATGGGGAAAAAAATGAAACAGAAACAGACCTAGGCCTGATAGCCCAAAAAGCTATGATAGGTGCCCTGAGGTAAAAATACAAGGCTTGTTTATAATTCAAACAATGAATTTTAACCTTTTTATCAAACCAATGCATTGATAGATGGATAAAACTACATGTACATGTACAACTTGGAAGGCAAGGAGCTTTCCGCTTGGACCAAAATATTAGTATTTTGGAATCGATTCAAAACCTTTTTTTTGCAAATCCTAAATCACGAAGTGGGCAAATCTGAGAACCAACTTATTAAATTGGTGTTGCTTAGGAAAGGACAAAATTCAAAAGGACAAAATTCCTTGTGAAGGGTTCATAATGGGAAGTTGGAATTGGAGGGTTTTTACTGAGTCATTTGTTCTTTTTTTTCTCTTTGTACTTCTGTTGACAGTGGAAATTTTCTTCCTAAGGAAATTTGATTTTTTTTACTTAAAACTGTCAAATAGAAACAGACAAATAGACCAGGAGCACTTTCTCCAAACAGTAAACTTAAAAAGGTATCTTGTCTGACATGCATGTACATTTTGTACATGGAAGAAAATGATACCAAAGAAAAGGCTGGTGCACTGTGTATCAACCTAAATCTACATGTCCCTGTTTTCAGATCAGAAGAGCATTGCCGTTGTCTTAACTTAGGATCTTGAATACTAGTAGCTTTAAGCTTCCTATTTTTCAGTTGAAATTTACCATGCTATCCTGTTTTTTTTTAATTTCATATTCTCAATATGAGTCAAATTAGTAACAAGAATTTGACATATGATGAAAGAATAAATGTAACAAATCGCTGCACATGCACTGTTATGGGGTGTCTACCTGGCTTTACATGTACATCTCATTTCAACTTTAGAAAATTATAATTATTAATTTCTTCTATATTTGCACATCCCAATTACTGGAACTTTAGGAATGTGACAATGTCATACTATCAGTTACCACAAAATATTCTAGAAGCTGTAGTAAAGTAGTGTATGTACATGTATGTGCATTGGTTATTGCATTAAGTATCTAAGAGGGGCTGTTTTGTTGTTGATTTGTTCTATATTGATGTGCAATTGCTAGTTTTCAACTGGCCGTTTCAGCATTTTTGTCCAGTTGGTGAAAAGGGTATCTTATTAGTCGGAATGAGAAGACATATTATGATAGAATATTTATGTACAGTTTAGTTGTTAAATGTTACAGGATTGTTTAGACAATTAATGATTTGTATGTTGGAGTTTTCTTCAAGTCACCCAAAGCAATTTCAAGGCTGCAAAAAATTATATTCTGGATTAAATGTTTGATATTGACATTTACTGCCATCTCTTTGCACATTATTGATTAATATTCATACTACGTCTTTGAAGTGTTTGAAATAGCCCCAAAACATGAGGAGTCTCTTTATAATAAGTTTATTTCTGGTGCCACCAATAAATAGCTAGAACCAACCAGCCAGCAACCAATTTTGTCAGGGACACACATTTTTTCCTCACATGTCAGAATGCCATAGGATTGAGCTTACAATGTGAAAAAAAGACCAGAAAATTAACTTAAATTCCAGTTTTACCGTCCTAAAATTGCTTCGGGTGCCTTTAACTACCACATGTTACCCTAGAAAAAGGTGTCTGTGACATCAAGGTGAATATTATAATCATCCCATCAATAGTTAATAGTTTTTTCAGTGATCTCCAAATCAAATATGATCAATGTTTGGATTCATCTGGTGACAAGAATATTATATTAATCTGGTTTTGGCAAAGCATAAATGTCATCCATTTTGCAAGTAACATCCGTGTCCATAATATCACCAGGGTTCATAATATCGCCACCTTGAGAAAAAGTTAGCTTAAAGACATTTTTACTGTAACATACTTTTGGTATGCACTCCTGCACACCTCAAATGTACATACCTAGGGTATGTTGCAGTAAAAATATCTTCAAGCACACTTTTTCTCAAGGTGGCGATATTATGGACCCTGGTGATATTGTGGACACGGATGTTACATATATGCAATGGTGGCAGGTTACACACATGTACTACATGTATGTGTACGTTGACGATTGAACTTTCATATAATAGACAGGTGGACAATATAATGGGGTTCCGTTACCTTTAGTGTATTAAAAACAGTGTACAAGATATTGAGTATAATGTGAAACATTGTTGAGTTAAAAAATAAATTGTCAGTGCCATGATCTGAATCCTTCCAAGTACACTTACAATGTCATGCACATGATTGTACCAAGCAAGGTTTTCTACCAGCTAATGATAGCATGTCAGTAGAACATACATGTACTGCACCTGCACGAAAATCTGATTTTTTGCATAGGTGCAGTACGTTCTGCGGATGTGCTGTTGTTGATAGAAGTTGTGTCCTTATGGATAGTTGGGATGACCAGAGCTTCCTAGCAAGAGCCAATTGAAGAAGTGGTTACCATCAATTTACAGTTCAGTCAAACTTGTATTGTCTAGTAACCACCTTTTAATACATGTACAATCATTTAGGCCACACCGATTTAATTTTATGGATGACATCCTCTGAAGACCCCAAACTAGTGGCGCGGGCGAAAAAAAAAAATCCGGCCAAAATAAAAATGCTACAAAACCACAGGAATACAAACCTGGTATTGTGAATTTGGCGCATTACATAGCGACGTATACGACAGGCCGACACATGCTGGATTTTTGCGGAATATATGAATCGACACTGCTGTACGTATGTACTGAGTTCTTGAGTCTTGGAGCTTCGGTAGCCTGGCTGCCGTCAACCAGAGTTATCACCACCATGCACTACCCAGGCCTAAAGCCAGGCCAGAGCCTCGGAATACGTGATCCTTTTTTTTTTTTTTGAGATCTGGCGAAAATCAATGCGCGCGCGGATGTCATCCATAAAATTAAATCGGTGTGGCCTTATATATATATAATAAGTACTGTACCACCTGGCCATGGTGACTACTTCTGTGTCCCATATTGTCTATACTGGGCACATGTACAAACACACGTATTGAAGTCTCTCAAGCGCTCATCTACAGATGAATTTGAATGTACCAAGAAAAAGTTTATTGCTGACTAAAAAACAAGAATCAGTCACGTACATGTACATGTACCCCTCCAGTGAATTCTGTAGTACAGTAGAGACCTAAGCAAAGTTATAGATGACTTTTGTTAATTTTCAAGACTTGTATCAAACTTTGAATGAGATAACATGTGTATGAAAAAGGACTTGCTCAAGATACACGATATCATTGTAACAATGTAGAGGAAACACTGCAGAAGTGTATTATGATCGATGTATCAGTTGGTAGTGATGTATATGTTCATATGCAAAATTCTGTATGATGACTTAGCTTGTATAGACCACGCTGCATATGTGTATGTAGGGGTAGTGTTCTTTAGTGGGCAGGTCATATGCATTTTCCTCTGCACCCCATGGGGCAAAATGTAATAAATGACTGGAAGCAGTGAAAATGAATTCTCTCATTATTTTCTACACTTATTAATTATGAAAACTTTTGAACACACAAACGCAAGGAATAAAAAACACACTTCTTTAAGTTTCTGTTTAATTCTTTAGAACATTTGTACATCGACAACAGCAACAAGCATTCCAAATACTTGCTGGTAAGTTATTACCATTTTCTAATCAAACTTTTTTTGTGTGTAAAAGAAACTGATCAACTAACGTACATGTGTAAGTCCCTATCACATGATTAACCTCTTGGCTTAATGTTTCTTTGCTACTATAAATTTTAAGGAAAAACAAAGGCAGTGTACTGCTATACAAAGAAGTGAGGTGTACTTACCACTTCTACCATACAAAGAAAGAAGTAAGTGTTATGGTTTAAATACTAGCTGTTTTTAACAAAATGTTCCCTTAGAAATCGTGTAGAATTCACTGCATAAAAACAATAACTGTTGTTCTGTTAAGTTATCTGACTGTGTACAATGTTTGCTACATTCCTTGTGCAGGACCTTGCTTCTCAGCTTCAGAAAGAACTCTCCTACAAGGGTACATTTCCCATAATATGTTTAAGTAACACATCTAAGCTTTGTAAAACTCTGAAGACTTTTATAACAAAAAATCGAAAAACTGTTTTTAATTTTGGTAAAGGATGAGGATTTTTCCGGGGCAGGAGGGGGGGGGGTAGAAGATAAAAAATGGCAATGCTAATTTAGCCTCTTTTGCAGACTTCTAAGCAGTGGAGTTTATTTTCGGGCGACAGTGCGATTCTTTTTACACAAGCTAATGCACCAGAAGGACTTGTGCAACGGAGGAAGTTACGCCTCTCTTTAGTTTGTGCAATACAGCTTTCTAGATGGATACAGCTCTCCCACGTAACAAGGCCCTTCCCTGAAAAGAAACCACTAGCCACACGTAAAAGCTAACGCTGCCTAGAAGTCTTGCAGGAGGCTACTTTATTTATACACTGTAGTTGCTGCACATTGTATTACCTTGATGTTCATTTTGACTATTGGCCATAACCTATTTTTGTTACAGACACAATCATACACTGTCATTCGTGTCTTCACACAATCCTCCCAAAAGGCAAATGTTTTGACACCCCTATCCTTCCAATAGAACGATCCAACCAAAGAGGCGCTTCCCTTGCTCATGTTACTTCAAATGGACTCTACCACTGATCAGATGGGGGATTTTTTGCGAATTACATTGTACTTTACTGTCCAGCATCATCAGTGAATGCGAGTGAGCTCCTCTACTAACTTAATGAGATCTTCCACGGTGCATTCTCTCTTCATGCCACTACCATCATCCATCTGAAAAAGAAAAAAGTACTACTAAGTTATGATTTTTGAGATTACAAACAATGCATTTACATGTATAGGGACATCATGCTTACCAAATTGAATGTAATTTATAGTTATTGTTTCATACACTCCTGGCAACCACATTCTTGAACCCACTGGGCATACTGGGTCATACCCTGACAATCAAGTGAAACTTTACAATCTTCACCCACTCACTTTGGAACACAAACATACAAACCAAGCATAAATTTGCACCGTCCAAAACAGTACTTCCATCCGAGAGGCATGAGAAAACTTGTAAGACTTCTGCTTTTTCTTTGCTTGAACCTTTGTTTGACACGAAAAGCTTGAATCTGCCTGCAGGCTGCTTTTCGTTGAGGTGATGAGGAAAGAGGTATACTAAGGGTCTGACAAAATACAATAACACTACCAACTGAAAAAGGTCTGAAAGCTACCATTTGGGGGATTACTCAAGCAAGGTTAATAATAATAATAGGACTTCTCTATTGCTTCTGAGTGGTTGCGGGGATTGAAAGAAGGTTCTTCTTTGTTCACTTCTGGGCTAATTATGCAAGGAAATGAATGGACTCTCATTTGTTTACTTTGCAACAGAATGCAAGAGGAAAGTCAACCCTTTTATGTTTCCAGCCCCTGGCATCTGCATAGAAATGATGCACATTAGGGCAAGTCCAATGAAGACCCTTTCATTTTCAAACCCCAATAACAATAGGTACGACCGAATACTAGTAATTCCCAAAATGGTATCTTTCAGACCTTTTCCAGCTGGTAGTGTAATAGCGCCCCCTACCTGTAGCCCCTGCACAACCTCCTGCATCTTGTCCCTTGACAGGTCCAGGAAACTCTCGATCAGGTCACCATCGATGAACCCCTGACAGGCCTCCGTCTTTCTCTCCGTGTTGAACGACCGCCAGGTAATAAAGTGGTCAAGGAAACAACATACATGTACAGACTTACCAACCCATCAGTGTCCAAAACATGAAGAAAAGAATGTCTTTCTTACTGGCAGTTATTTTTACACTACAGTGTAATCCGACCCGTGGTCGGGCTGGTGCCTCAGGTGTTATGGAATACACGTGTTGTTTGTTTGTAAGTACAAATGTACAAGCTGCACAAGACTGGACTGTAAGGTTTGAACCATTCACACCGGAAAGGACATGTACATGATTGTACTCTTTTTGATGCGTGTGTGGTGGGATCTTTAATGTGAGTATGTGAGTGGGGTATGGCTCTCCCCTAACACGGGACCTCCATTTAACGTCCTATCCGAGGGACGTCCCTGACCAAAACTACAAATGTAGGTACTCATTTCCACCTGAGTGAAGTGAGGAAACTTGTAGTTGTACATTGCCTTTCCCAAGGCACAAGATCGGTGACATCATGGTAGGATTCAAACCTGGGACCTCTTGGTACCTAGCCGAACATGCTACCGATTACACCACACAACCCCAGACTTCTTACTATTATGTACATGTATTCTATATGATTATTATGATTAATAATAATAATAATCATATTAATAATAACCTGGGACCTCTTGGTACCTAGCCGAACATGCTACCGATTACACCACACAACCCCAGACTTCTTACTATTATGTACATGTATTCTATATGATTATTATGATTAATTTCCTAACTTGAGAAAGGATATAATGAGTGCTCAATCTTGCCGACAGACTTGATGACTCTGGTCAGCTTGTTCTGAACCTCCTGCAGGAAGTTGAAGAAGTCAGCGGGAAGTTGGGTGACCAGACCGACCGCCCCGTTCACCGTGCCGAACAGGACCGACCCTTGGGTGGGGGTGGACGTCTCCCCAGGGTGCTGCATCACCAGAGAACCTGTGGGGTGGGGACAGGTTATGAGTTTGGTAGCAGGAAAGAAGGTGATCAGTTTTAGCTCACTGAAGAGCTAATCTCCTACAACTATAGTGTGACCTATAAATGCTGTACATACACTGTATGTACAGCATTTATAGGTTCATTGTACCGTGGAAATCCCCCTAGCTACTTTTCAAAAAAGCACAATTTACAGAGGACCACAGCTTAAGGATAAGATTCTGACCCTTTACAGTAGCATGCATGTTGGGTCAGCGACAACAGCTGGGATTCGAACTCCCAACCTCTTAGTCCAGAGGCAGGGTTGCTAACCATTGGACTATGCACAATAGTAGGAAGAAAGAGGCTTCCTCTTGGGCAACTTGCTACACAAATGTAGTTTTTCACAAGGCTTATCTTGGACCTGTACTGTATTAGGCATAGCATTTTGGCAGAACTCATGTAAACCGTTAAGGGTGTCATTAATTTGGATGCACAAGAAATACCATCACTACTCTGCAGTGTATGTTTTTATAGGAATCCGTTTCTCTTTAATTTGCCTTTTCCCAGAGCAGAGTCCTGGACCCCTACCATGTCTGAAGACGTTGACGAACTCCCCCAGGTGGAAGTGTCCCACCTCCTGCAGGTGCTGCCGCTCCTCGTCTGTCGTGGCAGCACTAAACAACAACAACAACAACAACAACAACAACAACAAATTTGAGCTTTCAGACCTCCAGGAAGTGTTTTGGATGTTGGAGATTGGTTTACTGGAACCGTGGATGGGATTATATTATGGTTTATCAGAATATAACAGTTATATTATGACAGGTATTACACACAGTCCAACCCTTCCTGAATTCCTCCTTGTACTGCCCAATTACTCCCACCCGGCACATGCTGGGTCACCTTCAAGCCTAACCTCCCTGTCAATCAATCAAATATCCACCCACCCACTCTCCCTGCAACCATCTCTTTTGGACAAACATACAACAAACCCAAAGACGAGCCCACCAAAAGCAACACCTCCCTATCCAGTGGTAAAGATAGTTATTAATAAGCAAAATTCATGTCGAAGTTATGAGGCATCAAGAAAACCTACATGTATACTGCCAGTGCATAGGATGCAAGGTAGCTTTTTAGAAACTTACAATTAAGAAAGACTTTTCTTTAAGATTTGTACTAACTATATCACTGTGACAGAAGGATGTAGAACTGACCTGTCCTTCTGACAGGTGAAGAAGTTGAAGGAGTTTTCTGCGCCAAGGAAGTTGTCATCGTCTAAGATCTCTACAGCACTCATCCAGTTGGGGTTGAAGTCACGGGCAATCTGGAACATACAGGTACATGTACATGCACAACCCATGAAAATATAGTAATGGAACATTCCTCAAGTCTTTAATTTCCCATGTTTGCAGAAAATTTGTTCGTAGTACAGCACAGGCCACGAAATACGCATCAGTTTTCGCGGGACTAGAGGTATTTTTGCTTGTCTCTATATCTGTATAGCCCGTATAACCGCCCCTTGGCGTAACACACCAGATTTGAGGGCAGGCAGCTGGTTACATTATACTGATCGACTCGTTATTCCTAACTTTTGAACATCTAACTCCAAACATTGTTTGAAGCTATTTAATGACAATGCCCCTACTGTACTAGGTGACAGTGAGTTCCACTTTGTGATAGTTCTAGGAACGAATGAGCTTTTGAACACCTCAATTCTTGGTTGATAACTCTGGTACTTAAGACATGACTATTTCTTGTTCTTTTTTGAGCTGGTATAATACTTAGTACTTGGTTTGTCCACCAGGTTTATTAGTTATTTTGCATCTAGTCTGGACATTTTTTGTCTGGTTAAGGCCATGTTGATTTGATTATATGGATGACATCCTCTGGGAACCTCAAAACTGATGCAAGCATGCAAATAAAAAAAAAGTTTGGTCCAAAAAAAGTTGCTTTCATTATGAAATCTACGTGGTTTTGAAGGTTGAACAAATGACACAGAATATGGTTTGGCGAATAATCAGTCTAGTCTTCAAATTCATTTCTTTACATTTTCGTCTTTTTTATTGATTTTGGCATTGTACGATATTGGTATCATTTTCCAATGTTTTTTTTTACGGTATATATTTGCTATTTTTTAAAACTGTTTTGTACGATTTACAGTATGGTTGAAAACTTTCTTTTTTAAATGGCCGAAAATCCATGCGCGTGTAGATGTCATCCATATAATCAAATCAACATGGCCTTACTGGAAACAAACAAAACACCAACCTCCTCAAAACACCCCTCCATGGGTTTGTAGGCCAGTAGGGTGACAGATCTCATGAGGTCTCCCACCAGGATGAAGTCACCTTTAGTCTTCAGGTACAGGGCCAGGATGTTGTTATAGTGGTTACACTCCACACGCAGCTCCTTCTCAGCTGTCCACTCAAACAAACGCACCTGGAAGAAGATAACACAACACCTGTGAACACAACTGATGTCTTATGAAGCCAGGACTGTTTTTTAGCCTCCCGGACTGGACAGGTTTTTCTGCTAACCCATAATGATTGTAACGCACCAAAAAGACAGAAATCTCAGGCTTAGAGCCCATTACATATGGTAGAATATATACATGTACATGTATGGTAGAATATGGCCTCCTGAACATTAGCCAAACTCCCCCAACATTGGTTAGGAGTATAATGTAGGTCGGGAGCAAGGTCGACTGTGGTTGGCTGGTGTTCAGAGAGGTCTGGTACTGTTTGGCTGAGCCAACTCACACTCACTCACACTCACTATCTGGTTTA